GATTTTCTCTCAAGCTGCCCTTTGAAATCTTCTGTTCAGCTCTTTTGCTTCATTTCGTACATTCACTTTAGCTACTCTACATTCAAGAGCAAATTTCAGAGTCTCTTCTGATATCCGTTTTGGTCTTTTCTTTCTTTCCTGTCTTTTAAATGACCTTTTGCTTTAAGTATGATGTCCTTGATGTCATCCCACAACTTGTCTGGTATTCGGTCATTAGTGTTCAGTTCATCAGATCTGTTCTTCAGATGGTCTCTAAATTCTGGAAGGATATACTCAAGATCATTCTTTGACTCTTGTGGACTTGTTTTAATTTTCTTCAGCTTCAACTTGAAATTGCCTATGAGCAGTTGATGATTGGTTCCGCAGTCAGCCCTTGGCCTTGTTCTGACAGATGATGTTGAGCTCCATTGTCTCTTTCCACAGATGTAGTTGATTTGATTCCTGTGTATTCCATCTGGTGAGGTCCATGTGTGTAGTTGCCATTTATGTTGTTGAAAAAAAGTATTTGTAATGAATAAGTCATTGGTTTTGCAAAAATTCTGTCATGGGATCTCCGGCATCATTTAGATCGTCAAAGCCATATTTTCCAACTACTGATCATTCTTCCTTGTTTCCAACTTTCCCATTCCAATCACCAGAAGTTATCAATGCATCTTAATTGTCTGTTTGATCAATTTCAGACTGCAGAAGTTGGTAAAAATCTTCAATTTCTTAATCTTTGTCGTTAGTGTTTGGTGTGTAAATTTGAATAATAGTCCTAGTAACTCGTCTTCCTTGTAGGCATATGGATATTATCACTGACAGTGTTGTACTTCAGGATAGATCTTGAAATGTTCTTTCTGAGGGTGAATGTAATGTCATTCCTCTTCAATCTGTCATTCCTGGCATAGTAGACCATATGATTGTCTGATTCAAAATCGCCAATACCAACCCATTTCAGCTCACTAATGCCTGCGGTATCGATCTTTTTGCGTTCCATTTCATTTTTGATGATTTCCAATTTTCCTAGATTCATCCTTTGTATATTCCATGTTCCGATTATTTAGGATGTTTGAAGCAGTTTCTATTCATTTTGAGTCATGCCACATCAGCAAATGAAGGTCCCAAAAGCCTGACTCCGTCCACGTCATTAAGATCGACTCCGCTCTAAGGAGGCAGCTCTTCCCCAGTCGTATTTTGAGTGCCTTCCAACCTGAGGGACTCATCTTCCAGCACTATATCAGACAATGTTCTGTTGCTGTTTATAAGGTTTATAATTTTTTAGAAGCAGATCGCCAGGTCCTTCTTCCTAGTCTAGTCTAGGATAGCTAAATATATCAACTATTAAATTTAGTGGAATGAAGAGTAGACAAATTTTAAAGTGTGCTCTGAATAAAAGATTGATCATGGCCTGCTTAGTAGATAGCGATTTGGATGGAGGTAGGATTAGCTTTTGCTCTGGTTCTAGCTTGAAGCAACACTCTTGAATTTTTTCAACTTTTCCCCTAGAATTACAGGTCCTGTTACCATATGTCTGCCTTCTAGAGCATCACCAGCTACTGTTTTACCTAATGTTTTGCCACAGCATTGATGAGGGTCACTAACTTCTTTTTGCCTGCTTGCCATTCTGTGATCAAGCAATTTCTACATGATTTAGGTTCTGTTATGTATAGGATCCCACCTTAGGTATTAAATTTAGTATTGTTTATGATGTAAGTTTGATCGCTTATAGGAGATCCGCAAGTAAGACTGGCTTAAACAAGTAGAAGTTATTTTTCTTTCTAGTAAAAATCCAAGTTTGTGTTTTTTCCTTGCTCTGTGGATTCTTTTCAGTCCCAGCCTTTTTTGTCTTATTTCTCTGCCATTTGTAAGGTCCCTGGGTGTCCATTCTTGGATGTAGCCCTCATCTTCATGGTGTAGAATGGTTTATCACCAATTCGTATTCCAGTCAGCAGAAATACGAATAAATAGTAATTTCTAATAGTAATTAGGAAGGAGAGGGTGTGCCTGTTCCATTTGAAATCCAACCAGAAGTTGCACGTATCACTTTGCTCACATCTTATTGATTAGAACTTAGTCACATGGTTACACCTAGCTTCAAGAATGGCTAGAAAAGAAGTTTTTATTCTTTGAAGTCATGTACCTAGTCAGCAATTTTAGAAGAAGAACGAGAGACTAGATATTGGGAAGATAACTAGCAATCTCTGAGACCCCATCAGTGGATACATACCTGATACTTCAGTTACCACGTAAACACTTGTCCGTCTCACCCAGATATGCACCTTCAACTCTGACCTTTCTCCTAAACACCAGATCTATAGTGCTTTTGCCTATCTCCATTTGGATAAACATGTTTTTGTTGTTGTTAGGTGCCGTCGAGTCACTTCCGACTCATACTGACTGTGTGTACAACAGAACAAAACACTGCCCAGTCCTGTGCCATCCTCACAATTGTTGCTATGCTTGAACCTGTTGTTGCAGCCACTGTGTCAATCCATCTCACTGAAGTTCTTCCTTTTTTGCTGACCCTTTACCAAGCACGATGTCCTTCTCTGGGTACTGGTCCCTCCTGATACCATGTCCAAAGTATGTGAGAAAAAGTTTCGCCGTCCTTGCTTTTAAAAAACATTCTAGCTGTACTTCTTCCAAAACATATTTGTTCATTCTTTTGGCAGTCCATGGTATGTTCAGTATTCTTCTCCAGCACCATGATTCATCAGCATTAATTCTTCTTCGGTCTTCCTTTTACATTGTCCGGCTTTTGAATCCAAGGATAAACATAGATGTCTAAATTTAGTGTGCTTAAATTTGATCGAACAGTTTCTCTTCTCTCCTCTTTCTTTATTCTGTCTTGAGGAGTGGCACTACCCAGTTACCATGCCAGCAACCTGAGATTTGTCCTTAGACTTCTTAGCTTTCTCTTACTCCTATATCTGACCAATCATGAAGTTCTAGGATATCTTGAATCTCTTTCTTTCCATCTATTTCCAAACAGCATGTTCTTTCCATTCCTCATTTGGATTACTGAGATAGACTCCTAAGTTACACACTGCTGCCAGAATGACCTCCCTGAAACAGATTGAACCAAGTAATGCCTGTGTTCAGTAACTAAAATTTAGAGTACTCACTATGTGTCAGGCACTGGTTTAAGCATTTTAACAATGCAGTTTTATCTCACAACAACCCTAATATATTGTTCAAAATATTTGGCTGTTGCTTCCTGATTAAAACAGAATCTATTTAGTACACAAAATCCTTTAAAACTGCTTTTTCTCTACCGTATCTTGCCACTTAATCTCACCTTTTGCTACTTTCCCTTCATACATTTAGGCATACCAACAGGGCACACTAAATTTATAGCTCCCCAGTACACCATGCTTTTTCTTACCATTGTGCTTTCCCCCCATTTCCTTCAACTGGTTGTTTTGGTGTCTTCCTTTTAGACTTCCCAGCTCAAGAATCACGATTGCTGGCACATCTTTCTGGCTCTCCCAGTCTGGGTCAAAAACCCCTTCTCTGTGCTTTTATGCCATCCTCTGCATCCTTCTATCATAGCCGTAGCCACTGTCACCCTGATCATCGCCATTTACTTTCTGTGTGTCTCCTTGTATGCTTCTCAAGGGCAGGAACGTTGTCTTTGACAATGCTTGATGTTGAAAACTATTAAGTTTCCTTTCTTCCTGTGTCCTATCCTTCTGCTTCTATTAAAGATCATCAGTGGCTTCTAATAAACAGAATTTTGTTTTTTTCTTTTCAGACCTTTTTCTCTTTTTCCTAATGTTTGTGGTTTTTAGGACTTAGTCGTCAACACTCTGTTTTCTTACTATTTTTCCTATAGTCAGAGAATTCATAAATATCTCTAATTCTGATTTCTTTCTGTAACTGCTTTCTAGGAATTATGTAGTGTATAATAGTTACTGTTACTTATTGAACCCTTTATTCTGTGCCAGGTACTAAGCTCTTTACATACATAATCTCCTTTAATACTTACAAATATGAGGTAAGTGATGATTTTCCCATTCTGCAGGTGAGTTAAATTGACACAATAGAGAGAAAGTAACTTGTCCAAACTCAGGCAACTACCAGGTAGTGGAGCTGGGATTCTGTTTTGTATCTTCCAAATCCATATTTTCAACAACTCTGACATACAGTGTATTATGCTCATATGCAAACTTCGTTGATGACCCCCTCTCCTAGTGTTAACTATTTATCTTGTTATATTTGTCAGTCTTCCACTTATTGCTGTTTTGCTTCACAGTCTGTCCTGTGAGTTTTCTTTAGCAGTTTTCAATTTCCATTGCCAATCTGTAGTTTAATACCTTATTGCAAATTTACCCTGTAGTGATCCAAATTCAAATTTAACAAAGTACCAGCTTTTAGAGCCAACATTTAAGGTCATTACTATCTATTGTTGATCTCTCTTTTGAACTTTCTACCCTAGTTTAAATAAATCAATCCACTTGTGTTTTTTACCTTTGTGCATGAAATTCTCTGTGCCTTAGATACTCTATTTTGTCTTCATTTAAATCTGAGCTCTTATCCCATAGCCTCGATTTACTGATGTAGATGTTGCTCCCTTTTCTGAACTCGTGAACTACTCAGTTTTTATATGCATATTTGGCTTTTAATCAGATACCTTGTATTTCTGTTTAACTGTTTATGTCTGTATTTTTTTTTTACAACTGAATCATAAGCTCCTGAAGTCAGAGTTAGTTTTGATACTACTCTGTGGCTCCCATGTCCAGCATTTAGTATAATGTGGGGAACATTTTAGATGACTGATATATTGAATGAATGGATATTATTACTTTGATACTTGTCTTCTTATTTGGAATTTAGAAAAAAATTGACAATATTACTGGTATTGCTAAAATCACCAAGGAACTGTTCTGCAAGGAACCTCTTAAAGTATGATATAGAAGAGATTAAGTAGATTGGTAGTTTAAATAGTTTATTTTATGTTTTAATTTTATATTTTAAAAGATGTGACATTTTTCTCTTTGATTTTGTTTTTTTGGCAGCCGGTTCGAAGACAGTCCCTTACTCCTCCTGCTCAGAACACTATTACATGGGAAGAATATATATCTGCTGAAAATGGAAAGTGAGTGTTTTTTTTGTTGTTGTTGTTGTTGTTTATGTATAGTTTGTTTTTTAGAAAGAATGTATAACGAGGTATATCAAATTATGTGCACTTTTTGAGTAAGGCTGTAGAGCCTTCTTTTTAACATTCCTCCTGCCAATTGACACACACTCAAAACCTGTAGGATATTGTTCTAAGTGAGTATATAAAAAAAAACAAGAAAATCAAACCCATTGCTGTGGAGTTGATTCTGTAGCGACCGCATAGGGTTCCCAAGGGTGTAAATCTTTATGGAAGCAGACTGCCACATCTTTCTGCCGAAGAGCCACTGGTGGTTTCAAACCACCGACCTTTCAGTTAGCAGTCCAGCGCTTTAACCACTGTGCCGTGAGGGCTCTTAAGAAAACATAATGTGAGGAATTACCCTGTGCAGTTGCTTCTTTGAAACCTTTCATTTATGATGAACTTTGTATCCTGTGATTATCCTTAGTCTTTAATTGGTGTATAAGGCCATTCACTATTTGTCTCTTCTTTGCCTTTCCAAGTTCATATCCTGTCATTATCTTTACTTCAGCCTCTGCCACACTACTTCTCACCATCCTACCACAGAATGTGTGTTTAATGTTATATTATTAATACTGAATGGAGTGCCTAGCACATAGTTCATGTTCAGTCAATATTTATTGAATAAAGGGACACTGAATGAATGGATAAAGGGTTTATTTTGAATGAATGAGTAAATAAAAAGTTCTGGCCAGCATATCAAGGGAAGTACAGACCTTTGTAGAAAATATTTCCTTCTGGTGGAGAATAAAATATTAACTAACCCCCATTTTTAAGAGGTTGTCATGATTATTTATTTTTGAAAGGTTTATTATATTTTTCTAATTTCTCCCAAACTGTTTTTGTCTTAATATTCTACAGTTAATGTGATTAGAATTTATCTCTTGATTTTTTTTTTTTTTTTTGGTATCGCTTCTTACTGATCAGTGCTGAGATTTTAAACAGTAAAGCAGTTTGAATTGTATAAGTGATTTTAAAGATATACAATGATGTTTTTAAAATTTATATTTCTAGCAGTTTGCTTTGTTCCTAAAAACAGTAATTATTAAAATTATATTCAATGTGAAAGTAGTTGAGTTCTAAAAAATCTTTTCTCTGAATTTTCACACTTTACTATTTTCTTATTTTTGTCTTATTTCTCATATATGTCTAATTCCTGTTTAGCTTAATTTTATTTCTATACATAGAATAAGAAATACTGAAATATTAATGAATGACATTGGAAAATGATAGATTCTTCTTTAGGAGGGTGATCACATGTGGAAAAGCTTCCTAACATTTCCTTTATTTCTGTTTTAGAGCTCCTCATCTGGGTAGAGAACTAGTGTGCAAAGAGAGTAAGAAAACATTTAAAGCGACAATAGCCATGAGCCAGGAATTTCCCTTAGGAATTGAGTCGTAAGTTTGTTACTAATATATGTGTTTATGAAAGAAGCTACTAAACTTAAAGACAAATAATGTTTTCACCTGAAGGGTGCATATGAGGCCTTTGAAGTGTAAGGGCAAATAATCCTTCCTTTTGATAGTGTGTACACCCTTCTAGAAATTTTCTGATTCACAAAAGTGTTAATATTTTTACTATTTTCACCAGATAAATTTTTGAATAGGTTTTTTTTTTTTATTATCAAAGTAATACATGAATACGTATTTGTTGTAAAAAAGAAATCTAATAGCATAAAAGTTTATAAATTAAAAGTGACAGTTTTTTTTCACTGCTTAATAGTTAATAAGAGTTCGGTGTATTTTTGTCTAGACTTTTATCTGTGCTTTTATCGTTTTTATAAAAATGGGGAAATAGTCTATTTTATTCTGTGAGTTCCTTTTTTCTCTTAAACGTGAGTGTTTATTGGAGTTCTTACCATAATGACTTTTTATCTGTTTTTTTCTTTGGTATTTCATAGTATGAATGTATCATAATTTCTTTTATTGGTTCTCTACTGATAACCATTTTGGTTTTGCAGTTTGTCACCCTTATAAACAATATTGCAGTGAACATATTGAATATATCCTGTCAAATCCGCACTTACCAGATGCTTCTTTTTCTAAAACTTAAATTTGGAGAGATGTTTAGAATGGGTAGTATGTAGCTGGTACTGATTCTGATTTGAAATCCCAGAGTTTTTTCTCTCTCTGTATTCTTCCTCTTCCAAAGTGGCCTAATACATTAAAAAAAAAAAAAAAAATCACAGAGAAGAGAGCAGGACCTATATTTTTCAAGTCCACACATGTAGCATTAGCTGAGCCCTATTCATCAGGCTTTAGAAAAGTAGATAGAATGCCCTATGTAGTCCACAAGCTATAGCTCAAAGAGGAGATAAGATAGGTCTCAGGAAATGTGGAAAGAGAGTCAGCCATACGTACAGTCTGCCACAAGTCATTATATCTAGCACCCCATTGACTCAAAGATGCACCCATTTTATATTCTACTCTGAAAGAAAAATGCAGCTAATTATATAAGGTGTAATCAATTTTAGCACTTAACCCATTTCAGAGATATTATGTGTGAAAAAATGGATATCTTAGAATTGATAAAATGTGGCAATTATAATCATTCTCTTTGAAAAAAAGGTAAATTACAGGAAATACAGCATGTAAAAGCTAGACAAAGAACTCATTTTAAAATAAAACACGTTGTTATGTTCCATCGAGTCGGTTCCTACTCATAGCGATCCTATGCACCACAGAAAGAAACACTGCCTGGTCCTGCGCCATGCTTAGAATCATTGTTATGCTTGAGCCGATCGTTGCAGCCACTGTGTCAATCCATCTCGTTGAGGGTCTTCCTCTTTCTCTGACCCTGTACTTTACCAAGTATGATGTCCTTCTCCAGGGACTGACCCCTCCTGTTAACATGTCCAAAGTATATAAGACAGAGTCTCACCATCCTTGCTTCTGAGGAGCATTTTGGTTGTACTTCTTCCAAGACAAAAATAAAATAGGCAAAAAAAAAAGAAGAAAATTTCCCTGAAATGTTATAGAAAACATGAAAAGAACGTGAAATCAGTAAACTCGAGTACTTTAAGATGAGCTGATAAGACAAACAGAATGAAATGAAAAGGAGATGGCAAAAGTAAGGAAATAAATTGAGGACTAAGCAGAATTATTACAAAACAAATACATTAGAAACAACAATGAGTAGAACAGATGTGGCTGAAAATTAAATTTTGACAGATTATAGTAAATGCAGAACAAAAAGATTTTATAAAAGAATTACAGTAGTAATACATATGGAGGACAAAGATAGCTCAACATGAGGATCATTGGTATTCCTGAACTAGAAAGCCTCCAAAATGTAACCAATATGATAAAAGAAAATTTCTCTGTAATGAATAACTAAATCTGTAGGACAGCATTACTTTCTAAGAAAAATTGATACAGAATAACCAGTTACAAGAATTATCCTGGTTAAATTACTAGACCAAAACCAGAAAACCAAACCCGTTGCCGTTGAGTCGATTCCAACTTATAGCAGCGACCCTAGAGGACAGAGTAGAACTGCCCCAAGGGGCAGCTGGAGCGGCTGGTGGGTATGAACTGCCGACCTTTTGGTTAGCAGCTGTATCATTTAACCACTGCGCCACCAGTGAATAAGGAAGATCGAAGAAGAATTGATGCCTTTGAATTATGGTGTTGGCAAAGAATATTGAATGTACCATGGACTGCCGAAAGAATGAACAAATCTGTCTTGGAAGAAATACAGCCAGAATGCTCCTTAAAAACAAGTATGGCAAGACTACGTCTCACATACTTTGGACATGTTATCAGGAGGGACCAGTCCCTGGAGAAGGACATTATGCTTGGTAAAGTAGAGGGTCATCGAAAAAGAGAAAGACCCTCAACAAGATAAGTTGACATAGTGGCTGCAACAATGGGCTCAAGCATAACAACAATTGTGAAGATGGCAAAGGACCAGGCGGTGTTTCGTTGTGTTGTACATAGGGTCAGAATCGGCTCGATGGCACCTAACAACAGCAACAACAAATTACTAGATTTCAGCTGTTAATGAGGAAATCTAAAGGCATTCATGCAGAAAAGGCAAATCATTTACCAGAGGGGTAAAAATCAGCCTGGCTGTACATTTTTTCACGTCTTGACATTTCTGAGGCAAAGAAAGTGTGAGCTGATAGTATATCTAGCTAAGATACCATCAAGGCAACTGAAGATGGACGCAGAAGAATTCAAGAAATACAGCTGTCATGGGCCTTTCTTGAAAGAAAATTAAAATTACTTGAAAATGAAATCCATCCAACCAAAAAGATGAGAAAAGTTGTAATAATGACTAGAGTGATGTTAAATGCTAGGAGATATGAAATTATAACTTTGTAAATTTGGAGGAAAAGAGTATAACCTGACATTTTATGCCAACCAAATTTCCCTGTAAGTATAAAGACAAGAAACACTTATTTGTCAAATGTGTAAGAATTCAAGGAATGATGAGCCACATACGAGCCATTTACAAAAAGAAATTAACAATGAAGTCCAGCCAACCAAATGATGAGTCTAATAAAAGAAAGCAGGACTGTGTAGACTTTCGCAAGAAGACAAGTATAAGCATTGAATCTATTTAAATACAGAGCTAAAATCAAATAGCTATGGAAATTATGGTTGCACAATCACATATAAAAGTTACAAACCTTGACATAGTAAAAGGAGTAACAACAACAACAACAAAAATCAAGGAAGGAAGAAGGAAGTGTGTCATTTCTTCATCCTCAGTTGCTAAAAGTCTGTGATATTGTCTAAGTTTGAAACATGTAGTTAAAAAATAAAATAAGGACACAAAAAAAATCAATTTAAACTGTGAAAACATTTTTCCTCTGTTTTTCAGATTATTGAATGTTTTAGAAGTAATAGCTCCCTTCAAGCACTTTAACAAGCTTAGAGAATTTGTTCAGATGAAGCTTCCTCCAGGCTTTCCAGTAAAACTAGGTAAGACAATTTAGATGTATTTTCAGTCTCTTAGAAATATGGAGCTGTTTATTCATGTTTAATAAGAAATATGCTTTGAAGGAAAATAGATTTCCTAGTTGCTTACATTTTTGTAAAGTTTTTCTGTAATTATATGCGTTAATACTCATGTCAAATGTATAAGTTGCCCTATCAGAGTACTAAGGAGCCCTGGTAGCACAGTGGCTAAAGCACTCTCCTGCTAACTGAAAGGTCAGTGGTTCCAACTCACCAGATATAAAAGAAACATGTGGCAGTCTGCTTCTCTGAAGATTTACAGTCTTGGCAACCTTATGGGGCAGTTCTGCTCTGTCCTGTACAGTCGCTATGAGTTGGGATTGACTCGATGGCAGTGGGTTTGGGTTTGGTTTAGAGAGTACTAACTGTACTTGATTTTAATTAAATGTAAGGAATATGAAAATACCTAATACGAGAGTGTGAGTGAACTAATGATGCACTGTGATAGTGTTTCTAATGTGAAATCAGGAGATTAGAGTTTAGCCGTAATTTTCAGAAAACGCTTGACTTTCTGAATAGTAGGAATGTTGCTGGAATCCGCCATAATTATGCATGGATAAAGAAATGTCCATTTATTTTATTTTTTAGTCTTAAGTGTTTAAACTTAAATTTCATTTTAAACAATGTTCTTTAGAAACAGTAAACTCTCATTTTTGCACATATATATCTTTCTAATTTATATTAGAGAACTGTGAGCTAGAGAATATTAAAAGGTGTTTTGGTTTAGATTTAGCAGTAAGATAAGCTTCAGGACAGTCCTTAAACACTATTCATCCATACTGATATTCATCCACTGTCTTTAGTTATCTAGTGCCGTGGTAACAGACAGACCACAAGTAAGTGGCTTTAATGAACAGGAATTTATTTTCTCATAGTTTAGGAGGCTAGAAGTCTGAATTCAAGGTGCCAGCTCTAGAGGAAGGCTTTCTGTGTTGGTTCTGGTGGAAGGTCCTTGTTCCTTAGCTCCTTGGTGATCTTCATGTGGCTTGGCATCTATCTTCCCCCATCTCTGCTTGCTCACTTAATCTGCTCTTTTATATCTCAAAAGAGATTGATTTAAGACACACACTACAGTAATACTGTCTCATTAACATAACAAAGAAAACGCTATTCCCAGATGGGATTATAACCACAGGTATAGCAGGATTTACAGCACATATTTTTGGGGGACACAGTTCAATCCATAACATCTGCCTAATATTTTATCAGTGCTTGTTATATGCTTGCTATGTGCCAGATGTTCTTATAGGGACTGGAGACTGAGCAAAAGCCCTTGCCCTCTTGGCATTTACATTCTAGTAGGGGAGATAAATAAATACATAGTATTAGTGTATGGTGTGTTTTAAGTCAATCTCCTTTGAGATATAAAAGAGCAGATTAAGCAGGCAAGCACAAAGAGAGGGGAAGATACATGCCAGATGATTGCCAAGGAACAAGCTGACAAAAGAAGGACCTTCCCTCAAAGCAGACAGAGAGAGGGAGCCTTCTCCTAGTGCTGGCACTCTGAATTCGGACATCTAGACTTCTGTGAGAAAATAAATTTCTGTTCATTAAAGCAACCCACTTGTGGTATTTCTGTTACAGCAGCGCTAGATAGCTAAAAGAACAACGTATCAAAATTTGTGGAAATTAGCTAAAGCAGTGCTGAGAGGAAAATTTATAGCACTTAAATGCATACATTAATAAAAGAGGAATACTCTTAAATCAATACTTTAAACTCCTACCTCAAGAATCTAGCAAAAGGAGCAAAATAAACCCAAAGCAAGCAGAAGGAAATAAAAAGAAATTAATGAAATTGAAATCAGAAAAAGAATAGAGAAAGTCAGTGAAATGAAGAGCTAGTTCTTTGAATAAATCAGTAAAATTGACAAACTTCTAGTAAGACTGATAAAAAAAAGAGGGAAAACAAAGATTACCCATATAAGGAATGAAACAAGATAACAACACAGACCCTGCAGGCATCAAAAGGATAATTAGAGAAAACCATAAACAGTTCTACACACATGAATTTGATGACTTAGACAAAATGCACCACTTCCTTGAAAGACATAAACTACTACAACTCCCTCAATATGAAATAGATAATTTGAATAGTACTAGAACTATTAAGAAATTGAATTTATAAGTTAAAAACTCTCCAAAAAGAAATCTCTGTGCCCAGATAGTTTCACTGGAGAACACTACCAAATGTTTAAAATCTATACAATCTCTTCTAGAAAATGAAAGAGGGGAGGGAACACTCTTGATTTATTTTATGAAGCTAGTGTTACCCTGATACCAAAACCAGTCAAAAACAGTACCAAAAACGAAAACTTCGGACCAACATCCCTCATGAATGTAAATGCAAAGTCCTTAACAAAATAATAGCAAATAGAAATCAGCAATGTATACAAAGAATTAATACACCATTATAAGGGTGGTTTAGTCCAGGGATATAAGTTTAGGTCAGTATTTGAAAATCAGTGTGATACACCATTATTAACAGACTACAGAAGAAAAATCACATGATTATGTGAGGCAAAGCAGGAAAAGCGTTTGACAAAATTCAACATCCTTTTATAATAAAAGTCTCAGAAACTTAGGAATGGAGGGGAACTTTCTCATATTGATAAAGAGCATCTGTAAATACATATTTAATGGTGAAAGACTAAATGCTTACCCCTAAGATTGGGAACAAAGCAAGGGTGTCAGCTCTCAGCACTCTTACTCAACACAGCTCTAGAAGTTCTAGCCAGTGCAGTAAGGCAAGAAAAGGAAATAAAAGGTATGCAGATCAGAAAGGAAGAAAATAAAACTTCCACAATTTGCAGATGATGTGAGAGTCTGTAGGTAGAAAATCCTAAACATGCTACAAAAAAAAAAAAAAAAAAACCCTTCTAGAAACTAATAAGTGAGTTTAGCAAGGTCAGAGGATACAAGTTAAATACAAAAATCGATTGTATTTTTATATACTTTTATTGAACATGTGGACACCAAAATTAAAACTAAATACCATTTACAGTTGTTCACACAAAAAAGAAAATAGATATAAATCTAACAAAACATAACCAGGGTTTGTATGCTGAAAACCACACAAAACTGATAAAAAATCAGAGAAGATCTAAACAAATGGAGAGAAATATCATGTTCATGAATTGGAAGATTCAACATAATAAAAATGGCAGTTATCCACAAATTGATACATGGGTTTAATATACTTCTTATCAAAATCCCGGCAAGATTTTTTATAGATATAGACAAGATTAATTTAAAATTTATATTGAAAGGAAAAAAATAGCTAAAATAATTTTGAAAAAAAAGAATGGAGAGGAATCAGTGTACTTGATTTCAAGATTTATTATACAGCTACTATAATCAAGACTGTGGTGTTAGCAAGAAAGATAGACATATAGATCAGTGTACCAGAACCCCAGAAATGGGCCTACACAAATATGTCCAGCTGATTTTAGACAAAAAGGTGCAAAAGCCATTCAATGATAGGCTTTTCAACAAATGGTGCTGGAGCAGTTGGCCAAAAAAAAAAAAAAAAAAAGAACCCCAATCTAAGCTTCACAACTTATAAAAAAGTTAACTCAAAATGGATCATGGACTTAGATGTAAAATGTGAAACTATAAAACTATTAGAAAAAAATAGGGAATAATCTTGGGCTTATATAAAGAGTTCTTAGATTTCACACCAAAAGCATTATCCATAAAAGGAAAAATCAAGAAATTTGACTTCAGCAAAATTAAAAACACTTGTCTCTGTGAAAGACCTCAGGATGAAAACATAAGCTACACAGAGAAAATATTTTCAAACCATGTATCTAAAAATGTCAAGTATCTAGAATATAGAAAGAACTCTTAAAATTCAACAGTAACAAACAAGCCAATTAGAAGATGGACAAAAGACATGAAGAGGCACTTCACGTTATTATTGTTGTTAGGTGCCATCAAGTTGGTTCCAATTCATAGTGACCCTATGTGAGATGGAACAAAACATTGCCTGGTCCTGCACCATCCTCACAATCGTTGCTACGTTTGAGCCCATTGTTACAGCCACTGTGTTAATCCATCTCGTTGAGGGTCTTCTTTTTTGCTGACCCTCTACCTTACCTATCATGATGTACTTCTCCAAGGAGTAGTACCTCTTGATAACATATCCAAAGTACATGAGACGAAGCCTTGCCATCCTCACTTCCAAGGAACACTCTGGCTATACTTCTTCCAAGACAGATTTGTTTGTTCTTCTGGCAGTCCATGGTATATTCAATATTCTTTGCCAACACCAGAATTCAAAGGCATCGTTTCTTCTTCTGTCTTCCTTATTCATTGTCCAGCTTTTGCACGCATATTAGATGATTGAAAATACCATGGCTTGGTTCAGGCGCACCTTAATCCTCAAAGTGACATCTTTGCTTTTTAACACTTTAAAAAGGTCTTTTGCAGCAGATTTGCCTAATGCAATACGTCATTTGATTTCTTGACTGCTGTTTCCATGGGTGTTGACTGTGGATCCAAGTAAAATGAAATCCTTGACAACTTCAATCTTTTCTCCATTTATCATGATGCTGCTTATTGGTCCAGTTGTGAGGGTTTTTGTTTTCTTTATGTCAAGGTGTAATCCATAGTGAAGGCTGTAGTCTTTGATCTTCATCAGTAAGTGCTTCAAGTCCTCTTTGCTTTCAGTAAGCAAGGTTGTGTCATCTGCATATCGCAGGTTGTTAATGAGTCTTCCTCCAGTCCTGATGCTGCGTTCTTCTTCATATAGTCCAGTTTCTCAGATTATTTGCTCAACATACAGATTGAATAAATATGGTGAAAGGATGCAACCCTGACGCACACCTTTCCTAATTTTAATAAACCACGCAGTATCCTCTTGTTCTGTTTGAACGACTGCCTCTTGATCTGTGTTCCACATGAGCACAGTTAAGTATTCTGGAATTCTTGTTTGCAATGTTATCCATAATTTGTTATGATCCACACAGTCGAATGCCTTTGCATAGTCAATAAAACACAGGCGGACATCTTTCTGGTATTCTCTGCTTTCAGCCATGATCCATCTGACATCAAGTGATATCCCTCTTTCCACGTTCTTTTCTGAATCCGACTTGAGTTTCTGGCAGTTTCCTGTCGATGTACTGTTGTGATCATTTTTGAATTATCTTCAACAAAATTTTACTTGCGTGTGATATTAATGGTATTGTTTGATAATTTCCGCATTCGGTTGGAACACCTTTGTTGGGAATGGACACAAATATGGATCTCTTCCAGTCAGTTGGCCAGTAGCTGTCTTCCAAATTTCTTGGCATAGACCATTGAGCACCTCCAGTGCTGCATCTGTTTGTGGAAATATCTCAGTTGGTATTCTGTCAATTCCTGGAGCTTTGTTTCTCGCCAGGGCCTTCCGTGCAGCTTGGACTTCTTCCTTCAGTACCATCGATTCTTGACCATATGCCGCCTCCTGAAATGGTTGAATGTTGCTCAGTTCTTTTTGGTCCAGTGACTCTGTGTATTCCTTCCATCTTCTTTTGATGCTTCCTGCGTAGTTCAATATTTTGTCCATAGAATCCTTCAATATTGCAACTCAAGGTTTGAAGTTTTTCTTCAGTTCTGTCAGCTTGAGAAGTGCCGAGTGTATTCTTCCCTTTTGGTTTTCTAACTCCATGTATTTGCACATTTCATTAGAATACTTTATCTTCTCAAACTGCCCTGTGAAATCTTTTGTTCAGCTCTTTTACTTCATCATTTCTTCTACTCACTTTAGCTACTCTGTGTTCTTCGCTTTAGCTACTCTGTGTTCAAGAGCAAGTCTCAGAGTCTATTCTGACATCGATTTTGGTCTTTTCTTTTTCTCTTGTCTTTTTAATGACTTCTGCTTTCTTCATTGTCTGATGTCCTCCCACAACTCATCTGGTCTTTGATATACAGATATACAGAGGATATACAGATAGCAAATAAGCACTTGAAGAATGTTCAGTATCATTAACCATTATGGAAATGCAAATTAAAACCACAGGACATCACTGGACATCTACCAGAATAACTAAAATAAAAGTGACAACACCAAATGTTGGTGAGGTTGTGGAGAAACTGGATCATTCATATATTGCTGGTGTAATGCAAAATGGTACAGCAAGTCTGGAAAAGTTTGACAGTTGCTTAAAAACTAAACGTGCACTATATATGATCAAGCAGTTGTACTCTTAGGCATGTATTCCAGAAAAATGAAATTATATGTTAAACAAAAACCTGTACTCAAATATTCATTTCATAGCAGCTTTATTTGTAATAGCACCAAACTGGATTCAACTCAGGTGTCCTTCAACAGGTGAATAGTTAAACAAATGGTTGCACATTCATACCATGGAATACTAATTAGTAGTAAAAAGGAATGAACTATTGATACATGTAACAACCTGAATGAATCTCCAGAGAATTATGCTGAGTGAGAAAACAAAGGTTACATTTTGTACAATTCCATTTATATCAAATTCTTATAATGACAAAGCTATAGAAATGGAGAACAGATTAGTGGTTGCCAAGGTTTACAAAGAGAATGGGGGTAGGAGGGAAGTGAGTGTGGCTATAAAAGGCTAGCATGAGGGATTCTTGGTACGATGGAAATGTTCTTTATCTTGTCTGTATTGTTATTATCCTGGTTTTGATACTGTACTATTTTATTTGCAAGATGTTACCATTGGGGGAAACTGTTGGCAAAGGGCACAAGGGATCTCTCATTTCTTACAACTGCATGTGAATCTACGGTTGCCTCAAAGTAAAAATTTTAATCATCTCCACAGCCCATTGCGGGTTCTCTTTATCTCTTCCCACTCTTAGGTTTATTATTGATATTCATAAGGCATCTTTGTGGTGCAAGGGTTAAGAACTCGACTGCTAACTCAATTGCTAACTGAAAGGTTGATTTGAACCCACCCATCCGATCTGTGGGAGAAAAACTTGGTGAACTGCTCCTGTAAAGATTACAGCTACTACTCCCGTAAAGATTCAAGCCAAGAAAACCCTGTGGGGTAGTTCTGTTCTGTCACATAGGGTTGCTATGAGTCAGAAATCGATTCAGTGGCACCCAACAAAAGCAGCAAACATACTGGACACTTTTCTGTCTTTATCTTACTTAATCTTTCAAGATTTGACTTTTGGGGGGTGGGGGTGGGGGTGGGGGTGAGGGATTCATTGTCTAAATGAGTGATAGCAGTTTTTCTTCAGATTTCCTCTGACCTCTTTGATAGAGTTCTTTCTTGGTTTTGTTTTCTTTCTGGCTGCACCTTCTGGAGCATGTTTCTCCTTCCACACTTGTCACTCTATTTTCTATTCTTATTACATCTCATAAAACTTAAGTTAAATATGTCACTCCTCTGCTCAGAATCCTCCGTTAGCTTTCTATCTAATCCAGAGTAAAAGCCAAAATCTTTTTCTTGACCCAACCGCACGTGATCTGGCTGCCTCTGACATTTGCTAATCTTTCCCTCACTCATTCGGGTGCAGCCACACTAGCCTCCTACCTGTTTCCAGAACAAATCAGACACTCTCTTTTTAAGGCATTTGTATTTGTTATTCCCTCTACTTGGAATTTTCTTCCTCTAGGTAGCTGCATGATTTGCTCTTATCTCAGGTCTTTGCTGAAAGGTCATTTCATTCAGGGTTTCTCCTTTGACCGTCCTTTTCAATAACTCACTGCAACTCCCTATTCCCCCTCGCATGCTGTATTTTTCTCTGTATACTTTCACCATTATATTATACTTGTTATCTTTTTCTCCCAACCAGAGTGTAATTTCCATAAGTGCATGAAGTTTATCTCTTTTGTTTGATGATGCATATCTATTGCCTAGAACAGGAATCAATAAATACACTTTTTCTGAAAGGGACAGATAGTAAATATTTTTACATGTGGTTTCTGTCACAAGTACTCAACTCTTCTGTTGGAGAGTGAAAACAGACATAGACAAGAAGTAAAATGGGTATGTTTGTGTTCCAATAAAACTCTTATTTATGGACATTAAAGTTTGAATTTCATGTAATTTCCACATTACTGTTGTTTGGCTCTTTTTTCCCCCAACCATTTAAAAGGTGTGAAATCCATTCTTAGCTCACAGTTCTTACAAAAACAGGCCAGGCAGCAAAAAGCCATAGTTTGCTGACCCCTGGGTTAGAAGAGCATCCACACACAGGAGGCACAAATGAATGACTTCTACCCCAGAAATAACTGGGGATTCTGTGATTCTTACGTTTACTTCTGTGTTTGAGTCTAAGTTTGTTTGTTTTTTTTTAAACATGGAAATATTGCTCTCTACAATAAAAAGTAGGATTGTAACAGAAAGATAGACTTAATTTACTCTGTGTCTTTATCCTAGGCAGGCACTCAGCTTTCATAGAATCATATTAGTTTTAAGGGAACTTCAGATTTTCATTATCTTATAGATGAAATTCCTGAGGCACACAGATGTGAAAATGACTTGTACAAATTAGAACTCAGGTTTTGTAATTTGTGTTAGTCTGTGGTGGTATGGCATTACTCCAATTCTGATGATACTGTTTTTATCCTACATATTTAGGTGATGGATTGTTTTTAGTGTTGTTTTAAAATAAAAAAAAGGATTAATGTATTTCATTTGGATTAATTAGAATGAAAATAGAGCATGGCTCAGAGTCAGAATAATCTGTACACTATAGTCTGAAGAAAAGATGTCAGAATGTAGAAAGTATAAAAGTAGCTGCACTCCTCCCACCCAAGAAAAAGAAGAAAGACTGTGGAATCTGACATTGTACTTTGAAGATTGGGAAGAAATGGAATTGTGAGTTTTTGATGTCGTTCTTGATACCTAGGTCTTTCCCTCCATATCTATAGCCAAACCCTTCCCCAGAACACACATACTCAGTACTAGACATATATTAGGATTGTTCTGGTCTTTGAGTAATGCCTTGTTATATTTTAAGGAGTATTGGCATATCTAATAGTAAAATCTATAAATAAACATTTGATATTACAATGTTATCAATGATTGTTCTCTTTCTGTAGATATACCTGTGTTTCCCACGATCACAGCCACTGTGACTTTCCAGGAGTTTCGCTATGATGAATTTGATGGCTCCATCTTCACTATACCTGATGACTACAAGGAAGATCCGAGCCGCTTTCCTGATCTTTAACTGACCTGGAAAATGATGTCTCTTACCAAGGAAAGCAAGAGAATATAGAGACCCCAGAAAGGGATAAACGCTTTCAGCGGAGAAAAGGGAATTTACACATTGAATTGATACGTCAGTCATATGATATAATGAAATGGGCATCTAATAAGAATTTCAGCATTTCTTGATGTGCCATTTTCAGTCTTTTTAAAAATATACATATTGTAAGTGTAATAGTTTGACACCTTAATGACCCTAATATCTTCTCATGTAAAACAGCTATGAGTGCTGTGATTTGTTTTTAAAAATTTTTACACTTCTTGTCGAAATATATATGCATATAAAAATATATATATATATCTATATATAAAACACTCCTGGACCATTAACATAAATTAAATGTCTTAAGAGATACGAAGTTCTTTTAAACTTGTCATCTTATATTGAAGGTGACATTTATAAATATTCCTTCAAGCTTTGTTTTCATAAAATATAAACTATGTAACATTATGTATAGTTCAGTAATTTGAATGTTTGTTCAATATAATGAACTAGAAGGAATGCAGTTTTCTGTAGATGAATGAACCAAATGGTAACCATTAAACAATTGCATTTATACATTGCAATACATTTCAGAAGGAGTGTTCACTCTGCAGGGAATAAGGTACCTCCTTTAGCACCTTAGTGCAATTCATTGTGGTGCTATTTGTTTTTACCTGAATTCTTTCTTCAGTGGAAAATATTTGTTACTAATCTTCCTTTCATAGAACCTCTCTTTTTTTTTTTTTTCCTAAACTTGAGTTTAAAAATCCTTGTTTCATGTTCATGATAAGGTATGGTTAGCATGCTTAAAAATATTTATCTTCCAATGATAGCACTTTAAAAAAATCCCAAATTTTTAAACTTGCTTCTTAATAAGTGCACATCAGTCTTATTATTTTGTATATACTGGACTATGGATGCATTGGTATCAATTTTAAAAAAAAACAACCCACATATTTTGGACATCCCTACATATTTAATGCTTTCAAAATAAGGTAAAAAACATTTTATATGCTAACAGAATATATTTGTTACAAGTTAAATTCCAGAAACCTACACAAGATTAACAATTCCTATCGTTTATTTTTTTAAATCACAGGTAAATATTTATTAATTTTAATTGTCTCCAAGTGTTAAAATCATGCATTACTAATTTTGCACTTAAAATATTTCATATTTATTCCAGTATGGTTTGAAGGTCCAAGAATGAAAATAGGGAGAATAATGTTTAACAGTCATTACGTGTCATGTTGTATTAAAGAGCTTAGTTAAAGTAATTTTTTAAAAATGTATCCTGATGAATTGTCAGAATGCATCTGTCAAATTTTTTAGAGTGACCAGTAGTTTAAACTTTTCCCAGGATTTTAGATAATTTGAAATGGTTTAGAGACCTTTATTAAGAGATGATTTATTAAAAGATACAAAGTATCTTCAAATATAACAATTAGTTTAATAATAAATAATAAACATCTTTAAAGTTGCATAATCCATGCTGATGCATGCTACATTTGTATACGTTGACATTTTATCAAATGCATTTTATAATGAAGGAAAATAATCATAATTAAAAATTCAGACACCTAAATTTGAGGAAGAGTTGGTAAACTCTGACCAGGTTTATTGAATAGAAAGTTGATCCCTATTATTTTGGGAATAGTTATTAGATCAAGTGAGTTACAGACTGAATTATCTTTTCAGTGGTTCTGTGAAGTTTGAGACACTGAAAGACAATGATCACTGTTGCTCTTAGGCTCCTTTTGTGGTAATAGAGGACTAAATTTCTGGAATATACTGCAGATTTTTTCATATAAGTGCTGACACCTAGAGGAGAAAAAACATGGTTAATTGCAGCTTGGGATTTATTGACTTTGCTGGGGTGCACTGGAGATAGGAAGACTACTGAAAACTTTTGCACTTGGATTTTAATACCTTTTCTTTCTTAAAGAATAGTAGAAACAGATTATCCATTCCAAAATGTCTTTTCTCTGATCACAAAGGACAAGCAAATGTCAGTATCTCTTATTATGGTGAATATAAGGAGATAATTAATGCAAATAAACTTTTCACAACATTACATATTTCAAAATGTGCCTTTTAATCCAGTTAATGAATGAAGCTGTATCGTGTGCTTCAAATGAACAGATCGAATGACCATGTATTTTGGTAATCTTACATGAAAATCTAGATTTTATAGTGTAGATCATTCTATATCTTCCATTTGTGATTGAAAAAACTGTTTAAACTGGGGGGATCATAAGATGGTCACCTTTAATGGCCATTTAGAAATGGTAAATATTCCTGCCACCAGTAAGGGATCAAAAAGAAGATATTCCTGTCTTCAAGAACACTGTTTCTCTAGACAGAAGTTGCCTCTTTCTGTAGACGGTCACATACAGAGAACTGTCAAACTTTATAAAAGGGAAGCATAAAGCAGATGCCCAGTTATGGTGAACATTAGTACATATGATGGTCTGGAAATTGATATATTTCAAAATCCATCACACTTATAGCTGATGGAAGCTGAAAAACTAGCTTTCCTCTCCAGCTTTGAACTGGTTATTGAATCGCACTCATGCAATTAAAAGTGAGTTTCCATAATGTTACTCATAATTTATTATTACACACCTTGTGGGAAGGTGGTGAATGACTGTTTAGATATTAAATATTTAAATATTAAAGCAAAATCTGTTAAGGCTTTTCAAGAAAGGTCTGCTGTCTAGTTTTGCTAAGTCTATAGCAGACAAAGACCCTGTTTTGAGGTAATGAAAGTAATGGAGTAATAAATACTTTTAAGTACTGAATTAAGGGGTATATCCCTTTGCTCAGAGTTCCTGGGTGGTGCAAATGTGCTTGGCCATTAACTGAAAGGTTGACAGTTTGAGTTTACCCTGAGGTGCCTTGGAAGAAAGGCCTGGTGATCTACTTTAAAAAAATCAGTCACTGAAAACCCTGCGGAGCGCAGTTCTACTTTGCACACATGGGGTAGCCATGAGTTGGAATTGATGGCAACTAACAACCAGTGATAAGCAAGCTTTAAAAAATTGTTATAGCTCATTTTAGAAAAGTGTTTTTAGCCACATTGGCACCTACGGCACATAGAATTACTCACTTTTGCCACAGCAGCACCTAAAAATATTAAAGCAAAATCTGTTAAGGGTTTTCAAGAAAGGTACTTGTCAGTGCTGGTTTTGATCACGTTTTGCAGATGAAAATTAAAGTAGAAACTTTGTGTAACAGAAAAGAAACCCCACCACTAATTTACCTGTACCTGCCATAATTAAGAGTTCTTGGTCACTAAATAAGGGGAACAGTGACTAGGTGGGACGTTTTAAAGGGAAATAATGAATACAGGTGTTGTAGGAGTCTTGGAAGGCAGAGTGATGGAGAAACCATTTTGTGGCTTATGTGCTGGCTCACCTCATTGGGATGAGGAAGCAGCTGGGCCTGCAATCATTCCTCCTTTCCCTGGAACCTCCTTCAGCTTCTCAGACCTTTGGGCTGTGTGTCGAAGAGTTCCCTGGCCAAAAAGATCAGAAAGCACCAAGACCTCACCAAGGTTTCAGTCCATCCTTGTGGGCTCCACCTCTTGCCGTGGTTCCAGCTTATTGTTCTCTCCCACCAATCATACATCTTCCCTTCCTGACTGCCTGTGGACTTCAAGTTCCAGCTTCAGATGCAGTTTAACCAGCTCCTACAATTAAGATCTCTTTAACAATCTCTCCTAGTGATTCTGCTTCTGTGATGAAACCTGACTGAATACTAATTTTGCTGAAAGACGTTAATCTACATTTGTTTTCCAAAACTTGGCACTTAAGCAAACCTAAGTTTGTCAGCTTGTTCACTGTGAATGGAAAAAATTTTACATTTAGTGTATCAAAATTAACATGTTTCTGCAGAAAGTTCATCTGATTTACTTAGGATATTAGGCAGAAAAATTCTTTAAAAAATTACACCTTGGGATAACTGAACAGTAATATTAAATATCCTTTGGAACATTCAATTTATTTTGTGACCCTAGATTTTAGTAAACAAAAACAAAACTTTTAGCTAACTAGCTTTAAAAAAAAAAAAGAGCCATCATGATACTACAATTTTAGTGGCTGGGCACTGGGAAAATAAAAAAAATGAGACAGTTTTGAAAAGAATTGTGTCACTTTGCCTATTTTTGTAAGGACACTTACTGGTTATTTTAAAAGGTTTAGTTCAGATCTGTTCTCTGTGAATTGTCTTACACTGCTAGTTAACATGTTCAACAAAACACCTTATTAAGTATATCCTCAATGGTAAAGAAATAGCATGGTCAACATCTAAGTTACTCTGCTACGTAATGTCTAACTAAATTTCACGTATACTGTGACATAAAATGTAAATGGGAATAAAAATAAAACGGTGAACTAGAGTACACATTTACAACTTCAGAAATTAGCCTCATTTAGAAAACAGTAACTACACCTGCTAATAAAGCCTTAGTAGTGGACATAACTCTGGATGCTGTTAGTACCACTAGCAATTCCATTGTATCTACACTTAGTTAAGTAAAAACTAGATACACGATTAAATTTTTAAATAGGGTAGGGATATACATTAGCTAGATTTGAGGTAGACTGAGGAACAGAAATCTCAATTCCAGTTTAAAGAGAGAAATATTATCAGTCTTCAGAGACAATGGACCCTGAACACTTCATCTGCTGCTCAACTGAGGAAAGTGATATTGCGTGATTACGCAGGCTATATGATGCCCACATGACCCACTTGTTATAAGGTGCAACTTCCAGGTTAAAATGTTTTTACTTTTCTAATGGTAGCCTCATTTCTCTCTCTCCTCCCAAGTGCTTACTTTTCCATGTTTCTACTTCCATATACATGTAATTACTAGTAGGAAGCTTATTCTCCAAAAAAACCTTCACAAAAATGTTAAAGGGCAACATAGCCTTCTCAAAGCCTAATACACAATTTACCTTAGTGCTTTTAACATTACCTCAACCTAAATTGTTTTAAAAAGCCCCACAATCAAATAGTAGCTACTGTTTATTGATCCAGGCATTGGTTAACTTTTTTTTTTCCTAACTACCAAATTGCAAACTTGATATCACTTCCATTTTACAGATAGGGAACTGAACAGGTCTCTCAGCTCTAATTAAAGCCCTAACTTAACTCTTAACTTCCAATTTAAAAAGGCTTGTTACATAGCCTACCTCTCATTCATTCCTGAAGCATTTAAGCAAATAAATAGGGCAAACATTTTTCTAACAAAACCACTTTTATTTTTTATCATTTTTACTACCAAATACAGAACAAAACTCATTGTGCAGGCAGTGTTAACTTGATTTCAACTGGTTATGTGTTAAGGCTTGTGTCCCAGTGCAGCCCTACCTTTGTGCTCACTGAAAATATCCAAAGTATAGATTCCCTTCACTGCAGCATCTTAAGTCAGTGGACTATTTTACAACCAGTTTTTCAGTTCTTCTTAAAAAGTATACTTGTAGTCAGAGGTTACAAGCGAGAGAATAGACTAATATTAGGTTTAACCACATGAAATTGCCAATATATCTGACTTACAAAAACGGCAATGTTATATGGTTCAACCTTTTATCTACTAAAAAAGCTTAAGTTCAAATAAATGTCATTGGTGTTCAACTTCATTTATAAAATGCAGTGATTATTAGGACCGTTACTGTAACTTCTTCTACTATATAGACGAAATTCCTTTTGATAAAATCTCTGAAAAGTTACTATAAACTGTAAAAACACTGCTGCTTTTCTATATGGCATTTCAATTTTAAAAGTTAAAGAACTGTACTCAAACTTGGAGAAAGGCTACAAGTTCCAAGTCTCATTTTCCCTTAATCCCAAGTATCCAAACACTACTCATTTAATAAATGAATATACTATTCAGTACTTTACAGTAGATACATACCATTGACAGCTTCAATACTATTCCAGAAAAAGCATTTATACTTCAATAAAAATATAAATTTACTAGGTATAGGTGGGGTCATTTGTTTATCCTAAAGTTTATCACTTCATTCAACCCCATTCCCACACCCAAAATATAAAATTGCACTGAGAAAAACTGTTTTAAGATAGAAATGAAATCAACTTTGACGATTTTGATAGCAACTCATCAGTATAGTGATGGATTTCATCTTGCTACCATATTTAAACGTGGGTAGAAAGGGGAAAGAAGAATGAGGTAAATGTCATACATTCAGTAGCGTAAATAAATACAAGTAGTTTTACAGAAACATGAACATAAGTTTAAGGGTTTTATTATCAAAGTCTTGTAAAACAATTTCAGAAACTGTACATCAACATGGCACAGACTGTAGCCTACTTTTGTTTTTACTGCACAAAAGTGAAGCTTGAAACTCCTGTAACTAAGAAAACAGTCGCCTACTTTGCATATAACATGGAATCACTGTGCATAAGATTACTACTGCAGTAACGGTAACACAAATTTATTGGTTTTATACAACTTGAGATCAAATAAAAAGTACATTATCAAGTCCATTTGTCTTATTTTAAAAGCATATGAAGGTCAATTTAAAATGCACTACCCTTTTTCCAACATTGAGCTTAAAACAATAAAAGTGGAGAAGTGAAAATGAGGACAAGATGTAACTTTCTTCTACAGATGGACTAAGAATAGGCAGAGAGCTTTCACTGATGTTGATGTGGAATAAATTATTTCAGGGGAAAAAAAAACAAACATTTTATGGAAAAGTATACAACTCTTCATCACTCACTGCCAAAAATGTTTTATTTGAAATTTTCTGTTTCTGTAATTAAAGCCTAATTAGCCATCAAAAAAGGTTAGTGCATTTATAACCTTTCAAAGTTAAACAAAAGCCACAAAAATTCAGCCACAAGGCTTAAAAGGATTATCTATTTCAAATGTTCATTTTCAGATGTAACTATAAGAATGTTAATTTGTCATGTCAACAAACAAGACCATAAGTAGATCCATCATGTTGAAGGATTTTAATGACATTTAGGATATTCCTGCCACAAATAACATGCAATCAGTGCGTTCCCTACATGGCTCTATTACGGCAATGAATCAAATTCTAGAAATACTATAAGTGAACTTACTTAATAAAGGAGATCATACAACATAAACAATCCATGCCTGCTGTAATGCATGCAGCTTTTCACTTTTGTTATGAAGCAGCACCAGAATAGTAAGACTGCTTGTTTACTCCATCAGATTTCACCATAACAAGAACTGGTTACCCATGTACCATTTTCTAAAAGCTTTTGATGTAAATAACTAATATCAATATCAGGAGCTTTATATAACCATTTATAACTCAGAGCTGTATACATCTAGATTTGAGATGAACAAATACAGCATTAAGAAATCACACAAAGGAATGACACTGATGCATGTACACAGTTGGATTCCTGTAGAGGCAATACTCAGTCACTCATATCCATGTCTTCTTCATGATGATCATCCCCATTCACTTTGGATTCTCTTAATGAATCACCAGTTCCCTTTTCCACAGAACATTCCTTTGTTTTAGGGGAACCTGCTTCTGTTGGTTTCTTTTCTTCTTTTTTCTCTTTCTCGCTGTCATACCCCTGTTCCTCTTCATCGTAATCTCGTGTAACCTGCTTTGCCAAGGAGAATAAACAACGTAAACTTCTTCAAAGAAAAATCACTTCTTAAAAGTACTAACTCACCCGAAATACCAAAATATGTTAGTTTGTAAACATACTTTCACATCTTTATCACTCTCTGATTTTCTTTCCCGGTCTTTTTCCTTATCTTTACTCTTCTTCTTCTTGCTTGTTGAGCGTTCTCTTTCATCTCTACTTCTCTCTTTGTCTTTGTCTTTCTTCTTCTCCTTTTTATGTCTAGGAGGACAGTAAAATGTTCTCAAAAAAAAAGACGCTTTAAAGAAATTTCTCAGAAAGTTTCATTCTAAAGTGTAGAAATAAGTTTTAACTTGTTTAGATGGAGAGCTTGCCCTAAGTTCACATGCTGTAAGTAGGTCAGCAAAGATTAAATTTCTAAACAATGGACAATAAAGCTACAAGGGGTGCTCAAGAAATATAGGCAAGATCGTAACTTGTGTAATCCTAAAAGTTTTTATTAGCAGTGTCTCAAATTATAAAGGTAATGTGTCAATATATTCTTAACCATTTTAATTCCTGAAAAGAAAGATAAAGTACAGGGCAGTATTGAAAATATAAACCAACAACTTCTGAATAATGGAAGGATAGATCTGAATGGTTAATGTTCTTACCTCCTAGGTGATGGTGAGCGAGACAATTTTCTTTTAGGAGACCTGGGCTTCTTAGGAGACCTTGTTCCACTCCTGCTTCTTCTTCGTCTCCTCTCTCTAAAATCACAGATGAGCAAACTGGGCTTTAAAATACAGCATTATCTCTAAAATGCAGATACATAACATGGTAAAGAAGCACCACATGGAACTCCTACAACATTCTAATTCTGATAATGAAAGACTTGTTTTCACAATATTGCTCTGAGCTAAGAATCAAAATATATAATGAAGAAGCAACTACAAACCACTAGGCATGGTGTTCCTTTCCTTTACTGCCCTTAAAAAAACAATTCCAGCTATTTTTCTTAAAAACGTTATGACATCAGGACATTAGAAATACTGAGATATCAAGACATTAGAAATATTAAACTTGAGAGCAAACTGATTAACAAAAGCTCCCTCTAATGCAAGAGGAAAAAACAGCTTGAAGTATATTCTTATTTAAGAAGCTGGTTTTAGATTCAAACATTTAGTGGCCAGAACAGATACAGGATAACTTAGTAATTTTGTGACATGGAAGGCATTTGCTAATGAGATATCCAAAAAATAACTTTTTAATCATTAGGTAAAATACAGAGAACTAGAGTTAGTGTTAAGGTAGAAACAAAACTGACTCCCTATACTCTAGCAAATCCCCGCACCAGTCATGCTATAAGCAATTAGTTTTAAGAGCTACAAGCCTTTCCTCTTATCTTTAAATTATGCATCTTTTTGTTTTGTATCTTGCTTTGTCACTATTCTCAGAAGTTCTTATAGGACTTGCAAAATGACCATTATTTAGGTGCAGAACAAATCAAATCCAGTAAATAAAACCCTATACACATATGCCCATGTACTTTCCGTTGCCCAGTTTCCAAATGAAGCTTTCTTCTACTCCTGCAGCTGTCTGACCTCCTGTCCTAGAAACATTAGCACCTAACAACATTTATTAAGTTTGTCAACATTGTAATCTTATACTTTTTGCTGTTTTGTGTAACTAATGCTGCAAATACCCTAGAGGGAAGAGATGTTTTATACTCTACTTCCATACCTCTCCAAAGATTGTATCACAACTACAAACACACAGTAGTTATTCCACAAAAACTCAGAAAACATGCCTTAAACTCAGAATGAGCCAATAATCCAGCAGGCTCACATGCTCATATAAATAAGTACTTTAAAGCAACAGGCATGAAAATGACTACAGTTTTTAATGTTAAAAAAAATGCATCTTGCATTTCCACCTTTCATGCCCTTTGGCCATCTATCCCTCAGACATTGTTTGGTATTCTGTTCAGTATTTATACTTGGACTCCCTTTATTTCTTATATACTTACTTAAAACATTTCTCCTGGTGATCTCCCCACCCCCAACACCTTTACTGTATGGTATAATTCACACACTATATAATTCACCCATTTCAGTGGTGCACTTTAATGGCTTTTAATATATTCAGGTTGTGCAAACATCACCACAACCAATTTTAGGACAATTTCATCATCCCAAAAAGAAACCCTGTGCATTTTAGCTATCACCCTCTAATCCCTCCACCCTCTCACCCCCCACACATACCCCAAACCCAGGCAACCAACTAATCTACTTTCTATCTATAGATTTGCTTATTCTGGATATTTCATATAAATGGAATCATATACCACAGTCTTTTGTGCCTGGCTTCCTTTTCACTTAGTATGTTTTCAATGTTCACCCATGTGGTAGCATATATTGGTACTTCATTCCATTTTATTGCCAAATAATACTCCATTGCATGGATGTACCATATTTTATTTATCTGCATATCAGTTGATGGAAATCTGGGTTGTTTATGACTTTCTGGCTATTCGGAATAATGCTGCTACCGATATTTGCATACAAGTTTTGTGTGGACATGTTTTAATTTTTGCCGGGCATATTCCTAGGAGTAGAATTGCTGGGTCATATGGTAAGTTTAATTTTTTGAGGAACTTCCAGACTGTTTTCAAAAGCGGCTGCACCATTTTATATTTCCATCAGCAGTGTATGAGGGTTCCATTTCTCCACACACTCACTTAACACTTACTATGTGTCTGAATTCCTTGTGGGTGTGAAGTGGTATCTCATTTTGCATTTCTTAGATGACTAATGATGCTGAGTGTCTTTTCAAGTGCTTTTTTGCCATTTGTGTAGCTGTGGTGAAATGTCTATTCAGATCCTTTGCCCATTTTTTAATTGGGCTGTCTTTCTATTATTTTAACAGTTCTTTATATATTCTAGGTCCCTTATTAGATACATAATTTACAAGTATTTTTTATCACTCTGTGTCTTTTCAATTTCTAGATAATGTACTTTGAAGCAAAAAGTTCTTAATTTTGATAAAGTCCAATCTACCTGTTTTGTTTTTTTTTTAATTTTTCCTTTGTTGCTTGTGTTTTGGTGTCATATCTAGGAAACTATTGCCAAATCATGAAGATTTATTCCTATGTTTTCTTCTAAGAGTTCTATAGTTTTAGCTCTCACATTTAGGACTTTCATCCATTTTGAGTTAATTTTTACATATGGTTTGAGCCTCCTAGTGAATTTAACCAAGCTAGATTAATAAACACTGCAGCCAAACATGTATAAATAAGATCAAAAGAAAATGGAGTTAAGCCTTTACTAATACTATGAATTTCATGTTAAGTGTAGAAATATTTTTTCTGTGGAGTAATGTTTGCAACATTGTTTTAATTTCAGTATGACAGATTAAAAATAGAAATTCTAATCTAACAATGACACAAACCAAAACATGAATTGCCTCCCATTAATATATCAATAAACCACAATATGGTAAAGAAAAATTATTCTGAATATTAACATGGATATGTTAAATACAACTTACTATAATAAAACCAATTTAATGCAACAATTCAGTATGCTTTAGCCACTAAAACTTAACTGTTAGAATAGGAAAAAAACAGGATGTGGAACGCATATAGCAAAAATAGAAACTGACCTCGGTTGAATTCCATGTTGTTTCAAATACCCTCTACACCATAAAATACTAAGTAAAAAGAGAGATGAGCCTCGGGTTACTCTTTACAAATTGCCTTTAAAACAACATTCAATGTAACGGCAAAGACTAACTTCTTTCAACACTGAATTATGTATCTATGTTCTGGAAAACACTTCATATTCACAGGCTATCGATATTCTTGCAAAGTTTAAAAAAAAATGTAGAGAATGCATGATGCCACCTTACCTGCTTGCACTTCTAGAACGTCTGGCTGTGCTATAACTTTTTGGTGGTGTTTTGGAACGTTTCTTTTCTTTGTCTTCTTTCTTTTTGTCTCTAATAAATGAACACAACTTATGAATGAATTAAAAGACTCAGATAATGTAAACTTATGTAGCACTACAAATAAAAACAAAAGTAGAATTAGATCTAGTTTTATACTTGAGAACACTAATGTTATTCTGACACAAATGGTTTAGAAATAACAATGCAAGAGGCATGCTGTTTGTTGTTAGGTGCCATCAAGTTGATTCCGACTCATAGTGACACAACAGAACACTGCCTGGTCCTGTGCCATCCTCATAATTGTTGTTTTGTTTGAGTCCACTGTTGCAGCCAATGTGTCACTCCATCTCGTTGAGGGTCTTCCTCTTCTTCGCTGACCCTCTACTTCACCAAGCAGGATGTCCTTCTCCAGGGACTGGTCCCTCCTGATAACATGTCCAAAGTATGTGAGACAAAGTCTCTCCATCCTTGTTTCCAAGGAGCACTCTAGCTGTACTTCTTCCAAGACTGACTTGTTTGTTCTTCTGCTAGTCCATAGTATATTCAATATTCTTTGCCAACACCGTGACATTGTTCACGCTTTTGCACACATTATGAGGCGACTGAAAACACCGTGGCTTGGGCAAGGCACACCTTAGTCCTCAAAGTGACATCTAATGTTATTCTGACAGAAACCATTAAGCACAAGAGGAATATTTGTGGTATATGACTTTAAAAGTTCTATTTTCCTAGTATTCCACATAAAACTTCCCCTTGTAAAGTAGACTATGAAATCAGAAAAGAATTATGATGGTGGCCAGTTTCTTGGTACGTTAGGTGGTGAACATCAATAGGTTTAGGAATTGTCTCTAGACCTTGAACACTCTTTTTTCTCTCTCAACTGATTACCAGTTTCCCAAACCACCACTGTCAAAATTACTCATCAGTATCACCCTTCTAATTATTCTTCCAAAGTAAACATCCCAAGTTAACCAGGCCAACCTTTTACCTTTTATTTGCTGCTACATATTCTAGACTATTCAATGTTATTAGAAAAATATTCCATCATAATGGACTGATACTACGACCAAACCTGAACTCTAAATCTTTTTAGATTCCTGTAAAATTACTCTTACTACCCAGAGCATTTTCCCAAGATTACCATCTTCCCCAAGACCTTAGGCAGTAAGTAGGTAATCAATGTATATTAGTTGAATGAGAAGTCCCTTACATCCATAAACATATACACCCATCTATCCTCAACTATTCTATAATTTTAGGACCTTTTTGTTGTTCTAAGCTAAACCTCTACCCCATGTTCTCCACTCCATCCCCTCCCTTCTCTCGTCATCCTGCTCCATACTCTCTCTTCATTCATTAAGTATTTATCATCTAACTCCTAGCTTACCACAATAGCCCTTTAATGGGCCTCAGTCGTGTCTTCTACAAATTCATTCTGAACCCTGTCAGAAGCTTTCAAAGTACAGACCCGAAAATATTTCCCTATTTATCACTTTTCAATGCCATTCCACTTGCTTCCCAGATCAAGTGCAAACTTCTTACTATCAACTACAAGGACTCCTGTGATCTTATTTCCTTTTCTGACCTCACTTCCTGGCACTCCCTACATCAAAACACTTGCTATTTCAAGAATTCATGTTAACATTTGTTTTTGTTTTTTTTTTAAATTGTGCTTTAGATGAAAGTTTACAGCTCAATTTCTCATACAAAAATTTATACACATTGTTATGTGACATTAGTTGCAATCCCCACATTGTGACAGCACACTCCCCCTTTTCCACCCCGGGTTTGTGTCCATTCAGTCAGTTCCTGTCCTTACCTTCTCATCTTGCCTCCAGACAGGAGCCGCCCATTTGGTCTTGTGCATCTGCTTAAACCGAAAAGCATACTCTTCACGAGTATCATTTTATAATTTATAGTCCAGTCTAATCTTTGAAGAGCAGACTTTGGGAATGGTTTTAGTTCCGGGTTAACAGAGCATCCAGGAGCCACGGTTTCAGGGGTATGCTAACTTTTATAAACACCATTCTCTGTCTGAAACCACGTCACCACTGAGTCCAGTCAAATCTATCAGAATACTGCAGTCACTTCTCAATTAAGTCTGTCCCAAACATTAGTTAAGTGGCAAGTCATGTAACAACGGTCCTTCCCCTATAACTACACTCACCTCTCTCCTAGCACACAGAATGAGGGAAGGAATGCCTAATTCCTCTGTTTGACTCAAAAGCACACAACAACATGACAGACAACCTTGTTTGTCAGATTAACTGATGATTTCCAAATGCAAATCGTAAGGACTAAAAACCCCATTATAGGCTAAATACTCACAGAGCAAAGCTATCAGAGTACCTCTGTTGCCATCAGTTGAGTTATACGCTTGCCAAGAATAAATTTTATTGGGCCCCAGCTATACTTATTATTTTAACCACATAATTTAATTAATAAATAAATGGACAAGCTAATATAAAAGTACAGAGCTGCCTCTAGAAAATTAAGATATTAGAAAGAAAGAGACAAAGGATAACTGCTAAAGAAAATATGCACTGTTAAACTGCATGTGTGTGACAACTGTAAATAATTAGGAAAGAATAAAAATTTAGGCACTGCTCAAAAGACAAAGTTCCCAGGCCACTAAAAAAACAGACAAAGTATACTAATTTAAAAGATTTCGGACTTATATCAAAAGACTGGTTACTGAATGTTAAGTTGAAGTAAATTATGAAGGTGTGTTTCAAATTTTTAGAAATACTCACTTAACTTTCTAGTTGTCCCAAACCTTGGGATAAAAGGCCCTCTTGAATGGCTCGAGTGTAGCACACAAAATCCAAACCAACTGCTGTCATGTCAATTCTGACTCATAGCGACCCTATAAAACAGAGTAGAACTGCCCCATAGGGTTTCCAAGGCTGCAAATCTTTACAGAAGCAGACTGCCACATCTTTCTCCCATGGAGTGTCTGGTAGGTTTGAACCACTGACCTTCTGGTTAGCAGTCGATTGCTTAACCACTGCATCACCAGGACTCCTGTGTAGCATACAGTGATCTTAATAAATGTTTGTTAAGTCGCTTATAAAGAGAAATAAAAAGTGAACAAGGCATGGTTGTCTGCCTTAAATTCTCTGGCATACCATGAGGAATCCTTAGCAGTGGCTGAGAGAAAAGGAAGAAGGTAGCAGGATGCCTAAGAATTTATACCTACTAAGAAATTTTACCTAGGCTTTCAGCTTATAGCTGAAGATTCAGTATACAAGGGAGGACAAGAAAACAAACTCCTAAAATTTCAATTAGTTTCTTCCCCAGTCTAGCACTACCTTCTGTCCCCACCTCTTTTATCATGAAGTAGCACAGTGTTTGGGGTCTTAGAAGTTCTGAAATTTGTCTCCTCACTCAATGTTAAAAGTCTGCTATACCTGGTTTTTGATGTGCTCCTTGACCTTCTACCTCTTTCCCTGGAATGAGATCTTCTCCGTCTTGGACTTTTGGATCGTCGCCTACTCCTCGACTTAGAATGTGATCTCCTCCGTGATCTGCTCCTTGATCGCCTAATAATAAAACGGAGTGCAATACGCATATGTAAATATAAAAAAAATTATATCTCACTTAGTATCAAACTAGAGAAAAGATTCAGACATAAGGGCTAACCACCAATAAATAAGTGGGGAAAATTTCCTGCCAGTTGCTACCACTATTCATTTATTCCATATGGCAAAAATCTTTTGATAGCCTAGAAATTAGCAATACTTTTAACATCTGGATTTCCTTAGCTTTTAATCTTTTGCTCAACCTGTCACACTAGTCCTATGTCCACTCTCCATTTATACATTTGTGAACTCTCATTCACGTACTGTTACAGCAGTGTTTACTAAAACACTCTTTTATCCAGGAGCTAGCAGGTTAACACGTAGCAAATTAAGGATGTGACAAATTGTCTAAGGTACAAATGCATACAAAAAGTAACCTGTGCCTAGAAGATGAGGGAGTCCTCCTCCTCCTAGAACGTGACCTTGACCTTGAATGTCTTCGTTTTTCTTCTTTTTTATCTGGATTTAAAAGAAATCTAAATTTAGAAATTTTCAAACAAGTAGGAAGATTATCCCAGTTCAGGAGTTATTCTAATAACTTATTTCAGTTTTTATATATTTCCATGAATGTTACAAGTGATCATTTTCTAATCAGAATGTTCAAGTCATTCAAGTGACACAAATCATGCAGGCTTTCATTAGATCCGAATTAGATGTCTGATTCTCAGCTAGAGGCTCTTTTTATTAACAAATGGTACTGGCAAAACTGGATGTCTATCTGTAGAAAAATGAAACAGGACTCATACCTCACATCATACACAAAAGTAACTCAAAATAGATCAAAGATTTAAATATAAAATCTAAAACGATAAAGACCATGGAAGAAAAAACAAGGACAACACCAGGAGCCCTAATATTATGGCATAAATAGAATACCAAACATAACTAAAAGTGTACAAACAGCAGAAGATGAACTAGATAAACGGGACCTCCTAAAAACTTAAACACTTACGCTCATCAAAAGAATTCTCCAAAACAGTAAAAAGAGAACCTACAGACTGGGGAAAAAACAATTTCGGCTAAGACACAGCTGACAAGAGCCTATTTTCTAAAACTTATGGAACACTTCAACACCTCAACAACAAAAAGATAAATAATCCAATTAAAAAATGAGCAGAGGATATGAACAGACACTTCACCAAAGACCTTTAGGAGGCTAACACACACATGAAGAAATGCTTGCAATCATTTTAGCCATATAGAGATGCAAACCAAAACTACGGTGAGATACCATCTCACCTGGACAATAACAGCACTAATCAAAAAAAAAAAAAAAAAAAAAAACAGAAAATAATAAATGTTGGCAAAGTTATGGGGAGATTGGAACTCTTACACATTGCTGGTGGGAATGTAAAATGGTACAATCACTATGGAAAATGATATGGCACTTCCTTAAAAAGCTAGAAATACCATATGATCCGGCAATCCTACTCCTAGGTATACACCCTAAAGAAATAAGAGCCGTGACACAAATAGACATATGCACACCCAGGCTCACTGCATCATTACTCACAATACCAAAAAGACGGAAACAACCTAAGTGTCCATCAATGGATGAATGGATAAACAAACTGTGGTACATACACACAATGGAATACTACGCAAGCTAAAGAATAATGACAAATCTGCAAAAATATCTCACAACATGGATGAATTTGGAGGATATTAGGCTGAGTGAAATAAAGTAAGTCAATCACAAAAGGACAAATATACGAGACCACTATTAAAAAAACAAGAAAAGGTTTACATACAGGAATAAAAAATTCTTTGATGGTTACCAAGGATAGGAGGGGGAGAAGGAAAATTACTAACGAGACAGAAGACTTGTATTAATATTGGTGAAGGAAAAGGCAATACACAATATGGGGGAAGCCAGCACAACATGACCAATGCAAAAGACGACACTGAGAGGAACGCAAGAATGAAGGGCAACTATGGTAATTATTTTAACGTAGACAATCCTGCAACAATAGTATTAACAAACAATAATTTATGAATGGATACACTAGCATGCTAAAGAAGTTTGGGAGGGTGTAAGGGAGCACACCCACCTTGCAGATACAGGTTTGGTTGTGGATATTTCTACATACATAATTGTAGGTGCTGCATGTATGTTAATATAGACAAAACAGCACACCAGGGGCACAGTCATGAAAACTTAGATATAACCAAAAAGCTCACAGGACAAAGTTCCTAGGCTCAAAGGCAAAGGACCACAGACTCAGGGGACTGCTACATCAATTGGCACAACAGAGTTCATTAAGACCATGTTCTGCATCCTACTTTGGAGAGTAGCATCTGGGGTCTTAAAAGCTTGTTAATGGCCATCTAAGATACAACTATTGGTTTCTTCCCATCCAGAGCAAAGAAGAGTGAAGAAAATCAAAGACTCAAAGGACTAATGGACCACATGAACCACAGCCTACACAATTCTGAGACAAGAAGAGCTAGATGATGCCTGGCTACCACTACCAACTGCTCTAACTGGGATTGCAACAGAGGGTTGTAGACATAGTGGGGAAAAAATGTAGAACAAAAAATCAAACTCACAGAAAGACTAGACTTACTGTCTGACAAAGACTGGAGGAACCCACCTTTGAGCCAAACAACAGGTAGGCCAATAAAATAAACAACAGTACCTGAGAAGAACATGCTCCTTAAAACAATCACTTATACGACTGACCAAAAGGACATTTGCCCAAAAGCAAAGATGAGAAGGCAGGAGAGGAGAAAACCAATATAAAAGGAAACAGGGAACCCAGGTGGAAATGGGAAGACTACCAACTCACTGGGGGGAATGAAACCAATGTCATGGAACACTTTATGTACAAACTATTGAATGGGAAACTAATTTGCTCTGTAAACTTTCACCTAAACCACAATAAAAATTTTTAAAAAATAGAGGTTCCTTTTACTTGTCAGACTATGGAAGCTATAAGGAATTGTTTATAAAGCAATCTATGGAAAGGAATACTTTTCTCATTCTTTAGCTCTGATTTATTCTTTAGAGGGCTTTAAAGGAGGAGTTGCTTCTTCCTTTCCTAGGTTCTGTTGTTGTTAGGTGCCATCGAGTCAATTTTGACTCACAGTGACCCCATGAGACAGAGTAGAACTGTCCCATGCGGTTTTCTGGGCTGCAATCTTTATGGAAGCCAGATCGCCATGTCTTTCTCCCACTGAGCCATTGGGTAAGTTCAAACAGCCAACCTTTCGGTTAGCAGGTGAGCATTTAACTGTTTGGGACACCAGGGCTCCAAGGTTCTACCTTCCCAAATGTAGCTATAATTCAGCCAGATTAAGACTTTTAATTTTCATGATTATGCATTAATAACATCTTTCCAGTTAGCATTTAACTATAATATATATAATAAGCTTAAAATAAATAAATAAAAATACTATTTTTAGCTGCCGTCCAGTAGACCTCCGACTCATGGTGACCCCATGCACAATGGAACAAAATGCTGCCTGGTCCTGTGTCACCTCCATGTTCAGTTTGTGGACTGGACCATTGCGATTCATGGTGTTTTCACTGACTGATTTTAAGTAAATCGCCAGGGCTTTGTTCCTAGTCTTAGTCTGGAAGCTCTGCTGAAATCTGTTCAGCATCACAGCAACACGCAACCCTTCTCTGACAGATGGGTGGTGGTGTTGGCTGTGCACGAGGTGTGACAGTCAGGAATCAAACCTGGATCTTTTGCACAGAAGGTAAGAAGTCTACCACTGAACCACCAATCTCCCAAATAAAAATGTATTTTAATTCTTGGTCCTGCAAAAGGTTTCTTACTATGTGTGTGTCTGTGCACATGTGAATGTTTGGGGGGCAGGGAACGATAACTCTTCTTCTACGTTCTAATAAAGAGGCTCAATATTTGGCCCCCAAATTCCAAAAGTCTTAATTCATTCACTGTTCACTATACTTCTAAGACAGAATTGGCTGTAAGTACGCCAACTTTCTTCTTGAAATCTACCTGTTGTTCCCCTTCCCTACAGAATTTTCAATTGTGTTAAGAACCAGATGTAGACTGAATTCTTATTTCCTGGGTTTTAAACAGCATAAAAGAAATTCCTTTAACTTAGGACCTAATGAGAGAAATATAAAGTCACTGCATTCTTCATATATAGGCTATGATCAAAGTGAGATTGAGTTCTCTTTCACATTTAGATCATTTCATTAACAGGATTCAATTTATTGTGAATGTTATCATTAACAAAAAACCAGGAAAACTAAAAACTCATAGAGAAACTACTTTCAGGCAAGAGTTTTCACTGAAAATTAAAACAAAACAAAACAAAAACAGCATAGTGTACTGGCTTTGGAATTATACAGATCTAGTTAGGTATAGTTGTCAGAGCCCTGGTGGCACAGTGGTTAAGAGCTCAGCTGCTAACCAAAAAGCTGGCAGTTCGAATCCACCAGCTGCTCCTTGGAAACCCTATGGGGCAGTTCTACTCTGTCCTATAAGGTTGCTATGCGTCGGAATTGACTCAATGGCAATGGTTTTGGTTTTCTGGGTTATAGTTAGGTATATATTTAAATATTGGGTTGCTAGAGTCGGAATTGACTCAGTGGCAACGGGTTCAAAGGGGTCAAGTTTAGGGATTCGGAGCCCTGGTGGCATAGTGGTTAAGGCCTCGGCTGCTAACCAAAAGGCTGGCAGTTGGAATCCACCAACTGCTTCTTGGAAACCCTATGGGACAGGCTCTCCTGTCCCACAGGGTTGCTGTGAGTCAGAATTAATGGCAACAGGTACTTAGGTTATTTAAAAGCTTCTACTACGTGCTCGTTATTGTGACCTTGGGCAAATTATTTAAACTTTATTAATTAAACGAGATAGTACACAAAGTATTAGTATTAATCTATCTAACATAAAATTACTTTCCTAATACTATACATACATACACACATATGTGTATGTATGTGTGTATATATACGTGCTCGCTTTTGCTATATATATGTATATACACACACACACACCCATATATATATATACACGCTCATACATATGTACATGTATATATATATATATATATATACACACACACACCTCTCCAAGGCCCTGGTGGAGCAATGGTTAAGCATTTGGCTGCTAACCAAAAGGCAGGCAGTTGGTGCACACACGCACACGTAAGTGCACACACGGAAGTCCTGGGGGCGTAGTGGGTTAAGTGCTTGGCTGCTATACAAGAGGTGGGCAGTTCAAGCCCACCACTCACTCCATGGGTGAAAATTGTGGCAATATACTTCCATGAAGATTACATACAGCCTTGGAAACCCTATAGGGAAGGTTCTACTGTGTCCTATAGAGTCGCTATGAGTTGGAATCAACTCGATGGCACATGACAATCCAAAAAACAACATGTATATACTAAAAATATTTCCATTTATTAAGAAATGAATAAATTATAACATTTAATGGGGAAAAAAAAATCCAAGACCCAAAATAAGCAGATAACGGGATAACCATTTCATCTCAAATAGGTAACAGGCAAATAATAAAGTGTTTGCTCTTCCTTAAACAAATGGCATAAAGAGAAGCATCTTTACTAGATTCTTTAGGCCAAATAAAAGGCAAAAATCAATTAGGCTATTTCAACTGTGCAAAAATGAATGATTATAAACAACCAAAATATTATACCAAGTATAAGACAATTCTAGGCACTACTGGCATTTTGGGCTGGATTGTTTTTTTGTTGTGGGGAACTGTTCTGTGCATTGTAGGATATTTAGCAACATCCTTGGCCTCTACCTACTAGAGCAGTTGGTACCAGTTTGATTGAGAACCTAAAGTGTCTCCAGTCATTTCCAAATACGTCTCTGTGGCAACCTCTCCCCAGCCCAACTGAGTATCACTGCACCACATGGTTTTTATATATCAGAATCTAGAAATTTAGAAAATGATTTACAATATTCAGCAACACACTTCTATACATATGTCAATCATTTTTGCCAAGAAACATATAGCTTGTTTCAACACAACTGCATAAACACATTTTACCTGGTTCTATAGCAGCAGAAATTAGGGACTGTGCTTCTCGTACTCTTTTCATGGCTTCCTCTATTTCTTTACTAGAGGTATCTGATTTCAGACTTGGTGAAACTAGACCAGCAGCTACATGATTCAACCTGAAACAGAAACAAGAATTGAATATGTGAAATATTTTTATATGCATACCAGGATTTCTAATATAAATACAGGGTATACAACGAGCTTCAACCGTATTGGTGATATTTTATTTTACAGGCTGGGTGATGGGTACAAGCCTGGTTTTTATCTTAATTATAATTTAAAAAAGGGCTACTAACCACAGTTGAATGATTTTGTCCTCCCCACCCGCCCCCTCCCCAACTTACTGATAGTGACTTTCAGCAAGTTAAGGGAAAAAAGCATAAAGTTGAATGTAACAAGGAATCACACATTCAAAAATATCACGAGTTAGTTATATAGTGAGTAGAAGACAATTTCAGCTACAGCATGTAGAACACTTTTCATCAAAGCACCTAATAAAAGATGTTATTATTCTATAATAAGTACTACAGTTTCCCTCACCTCTGACTAGCTAACTTATTTATCCTCCAGGGCTCAGCCTCTTTGATCTTCATACTAATTTCATCCTCCTTGTACTAAGTTTCCATAGCTCTTCTGTACTTTCCCTAGCTGAGTATACACATTCATGTTTTACTATACAGAAAACCCTCGGAGCACTGGTGGCACAGTGGTTAAGAGCTTGGCTGCTAACCAAAAGGTCGGCAGTTCGAATCCACCAGCCGCTCCTTGGAAACCCTATGGGGCAGCAGTTCTACTCCGTCCTATAGGGTCACTATGAGTTGGAATCAACTTGACAGCAAAGAGTAAATTCCCCCTATCCATGGTTTCACTTTCTGTGGTTTCAGGTACCCTTGGTCAACTGCAGTTCAAAGATATTAAATGGAAAATTCCAGAAATAAAGAATTCATAAATTTTAAATTGTGAGCCATCCTGAGTAGCATGATGAAATCTTCTGCCATCCTGCCTGGGATGTGAATCATCCCTTTGTCCAGTGTATCCACACTGTATATGCTACTTGGCTGCCCGTTAGTCACTTAGTAACTGTCTCAGTTATCAGATCGACTGTTGTGCTATCACAGTGCTTGTGTTCAAGTTAACCCTTATTTTACTTAATAATGGACCCAAAGAGCAAGAGTAGTGATGCCAGCAACTCAGATATGCCAAAGAGAAGCTGTAAAGTGCTTCCTTTACGTGAAAAGGTCAAAGTTCTAAACTTAAGAAAAAAAAAAAAAATCGTATGGTGAAGTTGCTAGGATCTACAGTTTAAGAACGAAATCTTTTATCCATGAGACTGTGAAGAAAAACAAATGTGCGCTAGTTTTGCTGTTGCACTTCAAACTGTAGGTGAATACAGTACAGTAAGATATTTTGAGACAGAGACCATTCACGTAATTTTTATTACAGTATATTTTAAAAACTGTTCTATTTTACTATTAGTGTTGCTAATCTCCTACTCTGCCAAATTTATAAATTAAACTTTATCACAGATATGTATGTACAAGAAAAAACATAGCATATATAGAGTTCTGTACTATCTGCAGTTTCAGGCATCCGCTGGGGGTCTTGGGATGTATCCCCCGCGGGTGGGGGTGGGGGGCTACCGTATTTAAATGTTTAATGTTTCTTCTTAATTGAAGTATAAATTATATGGAGATAAGGACTCATACCAGGCACTCAATATATATATTTTTGAATGAATAAGCTAAAGAAAATACTTAACTCTTTGTCATTCTGAAATAATGTATTTACAACTTTTATAAAAACCCCAAATTACATTAAAACAAAACCCTTTATAGATGGAATTACTTTTCCTGGATTTTCCCTTGTTTCTAGAAGACAGAAAACATACTGCATGCCTGAGACTAAGTAACTTTCTTTTCATTTAAAAAAACTGCTCTGTAGATATCAAACACCCTTATCCATATAATCCATGGAAACATAGAAAAACCCTTACTTGGGATCAACAGTACTCATAAGCTTCAACAACTGATCTGCGGCAAGAGACTGCAAAAACAAAAATGTAATAACGGTAATAACACACAAAAACAATACATAACTGATACTTTTATTTTTTCAGTATGGTGAAATGTCTGGAGACAATCTGCTAAACCTACAAAAAGTAGCACACTCTAGAGCACAAAACTTTCCAAAAGATACATAAGGTATAAGCCACACTTGTTATATTAAATTTTCTAGCAGCCACATTTTAAAAACTAAAAGAAACAGAAGACACTTGTGGCTATAGTACTGGAGCATCTCTAGCAAGTTAAATCTGAACATTATGAGGCTGAACAGTCTAGATTTTATGGAGCAATTACCTCTTAAGACTTTTGAAGATAATGGTTGAAAAAAATGTAAAACAAAAGTGCTTAGTTAGTATGTCAAAAGATCTCCACAAATTAAAGATCGCGAAAAAAAAAAAAAAAAAAGTTTAGCTAACTTGCAATGAAAGGAACATTTCCAAGTGAGTAAATGATAGGAAAACAAATGATGAACCCACTTCCCCATCCTTTCATGTCTGTTTTCTCTGACTTCATGACATACTGATGTAAAACTATTACCTACTATGAATCGTATAAAACAAATTCTTTAATAAGAAAAAAGACTAATAATTCAGTGACTCTTTAAAACTCTTTTTTAACAAGTTTACATTAGACAAAACTACTACTTTTGAAATGAAAATTAAGTTAATGAAATATATTCTTTAATTATAAAAATGAGCTCAAAGTTGAAGGGTCAAAAGTTATACCTGAGAGTTCAAGTTTGCTCCAGGAAGCCCAAGTGCAGCAAGGGCAGGATCGAGAGTAGGAGCTCCCAAAGCAGCCAATGGAACAGCGCCAATCTGTGAAATTTCAAATTTTATTTATTAAAACTTCACTTCTATTCTCTACACCAGAGGATCAGCAACTTTTTTTCTGTGAAGGGCCACATGGTAAATAGTTTTTAAGTTTGTAGGCCATGTGGTCTCTGTTGCAACTATTCAACTCTGCTATTACAGCTCAAAAGCAGCCACAGATAATACATAAATAAATGGGCATAGTTGCGTCCCAATTAAAAATTTATTAACAAAAACAGGTGTCTGGCCCCTAGGTTGTAGTTTGCTGACCCGTGATCTATGCGATGGAAGCCCTATTTTTCCAGTCACTGCAGAACATTTTACCCCTAATATCAGGATTTAGGAAAAAATAAAAGTTTCAGTATATTCTTGTGCCAATTATAAATATTACTTTTCAGCTCCAAATCCACCGTTCTTTGCCTTGCTTTGTGATACTGGAGGTGGGACTCTATATTTTCCTTTGACAGCTGGCATAATGTTAAGCTTTGTCTGTAGAGGATGCTGCCAAGGCCACTGACCAAGGAAGGGGCTACTCTTCCTGGTTCCTGTATCCCATTTCGGTTTGTTCCTGAAGCAACAAGTGGGGCATTCAGTGGCCTTTACCTCTCAGTGATTATCAGTGACATCCGCTTGGGCAGCCTCCTAGCGAATATGTGGGCACTCTGAGAACCTTTCCACTATCCATCCCTTCAAAGGTCTAAATTTAATTAAGCCTTGAAGGGAATCTTCCTCATCTAAATGGGTTTCTTCCTTGTGTTCTCTGTGTCTCAGCCCTAGAGGTAGTGGTTGCTTCCTAGAACTGCTATTTATATATTCTTCAGCATTCCCCTAGTAGTTAATAACCTGTTATCCAAAAACTAAACCCACTGCCGTCGAGTCAATTTCGACTTACAGCAACCCTAGAGGACAGAGTAGAACCGCCCTGTAGAGTTTCCAAGGCTGTAAATCTTTATGTAAGCAGATTGCCACATCTTTCTCCCACACAGCGGCTGGTGGGTTTGAACCGCCAACCTTTTGGTTAGCTGCTGAGCACTTTAACCATATGCTGTTACTAGTTTATAATTCTTTACATTACACTTCCCATATTCAAACTACTGTGTGGTTGTCTCCTGAAACAATTCTGATTAATGAATAATTTGATATAAGCCATTGTCAAATTCCATAGCTTTCGAAGCGGTTTAACTTTCTACACAAGCACTTTTTCAATTAGTAAGTATAAGGTACCAAAGTTTCTGTGATTTAACTATCTACTGATTATAGGAAAAATACTGTGTTAATACTACTATAAAAATGGCTAAGTAAGACTATAGTTATTACACAATTTTAAACATCAAAGGATCTAGAAATCACCTAGATCTTCATTTTACAAGCAAAAAAATAAGGATTAAGAAATAACCAAGTTCATACCTAAAACGTGGGAATGCCTGATCTCATGCTCTCAAAAGCTTGGGAACCCCTGATGTCACACTCTTTCCATTATATGACGTTCTACCATTCACTTAAGAGTTAACAGAACTATTTACACAGGCATGACGACATAATAAAAAAATGCTGTTATAAAATTCTAGTTGAGGCTCATTATTCACTATTTTTATTTCTTTCACCATGAGAAACTTCTGACCAGCACGAGTTACAATCTCTTCGAGAGGTTAGAATGGATATTTAAAGTGCCTTTTAGTTTGAAAATTATGTTATAATCCAGAAGAAATTTTCTCCAACTTTATTTCCTTTTCCCCATACCATATATCCCCATCAAGAATCTATCTTTATTTTAAAGCCTCCTACTTGATTCAGGCTCCAAGATACAGCTAAAGATCAGAGGGCCGGGGGGAAAGAAGGCTGTGCACTTAAGAAGTCTGAACTTCAGCTTTATTTTCTTTCATGGTCCTAATGAACACATTTTTAAACAATGGCAAAAAGTGCAAAAGTTCCAACAGATTTTCTTTAATTATTTATGACTACAATGCAACTTTTTACAATATTATGCATGTGTGACATTGATCTATGAACTAGAATCACAACAGCAACTAAAATCGCAAACAGGTTTAGCTGTATCCACAATTTAAAAATTTAATAGAACTTATACCTGGGTAAGTGGGTTAGGAGTAGGCAGGAGACCACCACCAGGCAGAAGACCTGCCACTGCATTAGCTGGTGCCAACAGAGACAAAGCCTTAGTCTCATCAGGAATAACTCCTGCAGAGAAATATCCTCGCATTAGAACACATTCTTTTGCAAGACAGAAAACACACAAAAACACCCAGAAAATGTCTCCCTGATACACCACCTGAGTTTGTTGAAAGTACTTATGTTCGCTAAAATATAAAGCTTGATTTCTATATTTATTTTTAATTTTATGTCAGAATGAAACTTCAATGTGTGAAAATTTGTTTCCTTTTTCTCTACAATGGTTAAGTTTCTAGAGTAAAAAAAAAATAGCACAATACACACTACTTTTTTGTTAACACTGCCAAGATTTCATCACCTGTACTCGATTTTTAAGTCATGAACCAAACGTAAGCAAGCACAGTCGGTTCTCCAGGGGTGTGCTCTCAACTTTCAAAAGCTGTTTTATGAACAACGACTCGTGTCGGCTGCTTCACTATAAAGCACACAGAAAAATCAAGATACACAAGACAAAAAAAGTTTGATTTAGGGGTTAATAATATGGTACAGTTACTATGATTTTTTTACACCTACCATATAAACTTTGTAAAACTTAAAGAGAAGAAAAGTATGTAAAGGAAATACTCTGTTGGAATCAAGCGTAGGGCTTTTGCTGACTCATGAAAATGAATTATGTTTCTGAAGGTCTCTGAATACACTCGGGATGCATGTGTGGGACTGAGAGAAAGAGAGAGAATAGGTAAAACAACATGGCACATTCCTTACCTGTACAGTAAAATGCTTTATGTTCCAATATGTGCCATGCTAACCATACCAAAAAATGCTGCTATATATAGTCAGTTTAAAAGCTAACTTAGCCAAACTCCTTAAGCCAAAAAAGACATGTATGTCTGTTTTTAAAAGCCTAATCTGTGTATTCAGATAAAATCTAAGGGTCCTAAGACAAATATTTATGTAGACAATTTAAATTCTATTCAATAGCAAAAGCCCTATACAGATGGATTATCTGTTAATGTGCCCAAGCCCCCAAAATGAGAGTTCATAATACAATTAAACTACATATTTGCAAATACCAGTAGTATTTCTGTAATACATATTAAGAAACTGCATCTCATCATAAAACATACAATATGTACAGGGCACTTAAGAGAAACTGGATAAGCTGCAGAAGAAAACTGTTGGGTGGTATTTTCAGCAGGGCCTGGTATATAGTTCAGGCTGAACCAGGGAAAAGAACTGTAAAACACAACAACAAAAAAGAAAAACCACTGTTAAATAAAGGTAATGGTTCCTTCCACCTATACTGAGAAGTGCCGATAATATAAACAAATGTATACTACACAGCACTGTTATCTTGCTTGTGTCAGAGCTGTCATCAGTTTAGATACCAAGAGTTATGGAGGGGGATAGGGGAGAAGATAATTTAGATATAGGGCATTAATGCATCAATATTAACAAACCTACAGATTATGGGATAATTTTGCATGCAAAATTATGTCTCAAGAGGATATATCAACATCTTACTCAAATTAGTGCATTTGCAACATTTCTGGCAAACTAAAATCCTCTTGAATTTATTGTGAGACACCTGATAGAAGATCTGCATCCATTAAAAAAAAAATCATGCATCTGATCCTCTGATTAAAAAAAAGACTATTTAAAAATAAAACTACAATTTAAAAATAGCAATGAGGCCCCTCACCAGTTAATTTTCATGCGTCAAGAGTATTTTTTTTACTGCTGCTTTGATAGAACCATGAAATACTGCATGAATGTGTAGAAATGAAAGAAAAAGAAACAGACAAAAGAAACAAACATTAACCAAGGAACCTAAATAACCCCAAATCCATTACTATTAAGAGTTCCTTCCAAATCCAGCTATCTCAATTAAGACTATTCTTTACTGTACACTTCGTGTTTATTATTCTAAAAACACTGACCAAAAACCAACACCAAAGTGTAAGAGCTAAAACTAGTGAAATGGTGACAAAGGGACTGAATACATTACCTAGTAGAGACAACATTAATACAGCATATCATACCAGAAATTAAATACACCAAAAATAAATTTCTGTACTAAATACATCTATAATTCTACATATACACCCAAATATTTCACTTTCATAAAAAGATCTAGAAAAAATATTATAGTCTAAAAATATTTATGAAAGCCAGTTATGATATACTGTATTATGTTCAGGGCTTGTTAACTGTGACATAATACTTAACCAATATAAATTCTTTAAACTTAAAGACTAAAATGTTTTGCACATTACTCATATGATTTGACCTTTTTTCCAAGACCTATCATCTATTTTACTCATCCTGAATTTAAATTTTGTATATTTTCTCTTGGTGACATGTCTTATCCTACAATAGGCACACTGGTATAAAAGAAACTGCTTAACCAAAACACACTAACTCAAAAATTTATCTTTTTTTTTCTTTTTTTAACCTTAACGATCACGTAGACAGATGTAGTTATTCTATAGCATGCCTTAACCACTCTATGAATGTTAATTTCTTAGAAAACCACAGAGGCAATTTCTCTACGCTTTAAGGACTAGACATTTCACAACTCTTACAATGCATGGTGTTAAATGTTCACATTGGTATCCAAAGATCTATGATAGCATCTAAAAACAAGTATCGAGATTCAGCTTCCACTGACCAGTTCATTAAGGAAAGGGAAAATGCATTTAAATCCTGGTCAGTATAGTTATTAAATTATTAACTTAAAATCCAATAATTCTATCATATTTAAGTGATTCCTTTGATCAAAATTTATAGTAACCAAAGAGCAAATCAAGTAACAGTACATTGGGAACAAACTAATTATAAAATATGCCTTAGAAAATTTTACAAAATGGCATTAAAATAGTGCTGTCTTGTCACAGTGGCTTTTTTAGATCCAAAAAACCTGCTCATTTTTTTTTCTGTCAAATTACTTTAACAGCCTAAAATGTAAAAAGAGAGAAAATGTAGTTAACAAATGGTTACACCAGGAAAACACTTGGGGGGACTTGAGTGCTTGCTGGCCTTTAGTTAATGTCTAGAATCCCCTGTAGCTGCAGAGGACCCACTGTTTTTCAGTCATCTGGAAGGGTTTTGCATTTGCCTTCTCCACTACAAAAATCACACACACAAATAACAGAGAGAAGAATTTATTATTTAGAGATATTCTAGCAAATATAGCAAGAACGAACAAGAAAATCTGGCATAAAAACAAAACACCCAGTGCCCATCTGGCACCTAAGCTATCGGAAATCTTGAACTTTTTGCAGAAACCAAAATATTGCAACCCTTGGTATACTGGAAGAATTCAATGTGGGATTTTTTTAAGTTATCAGGAAAAGGGCACACTAAGAAAATGAAACTAACCTACTCATTTATTTAAAAAAGAAAAAACAGTCATGCATTTATTTGATGTATTCTGTATACGTGAACCGTCTGCAGGGAGTGAACCACTTGCCGTCAGAACTTATTTAATAAAACTCAACATTAAATTTACTAAATAGATGTATCTTAGAAAATTACAATTAGGGACATGGTTTTAGTGAACTTAAAAATTTTTAAAAGAATGCAAAACTTAAGTATCTTATAAAAGCAGATCTGATTTATAATTTTTAGAATTAAAAAAAATCTGCTAATAAAAATTATGGACCACAGTATAACAAGGGTTTCAAAATGTTAATAGCTTAGATTTTAACATGCGACTAACGCTCACTCTATAACTATACTGAGGTAGATTAGATGGTCATCATAGGATGCCCACATAGGTAGTTAAACAAAGCACAAACCTTCTGCATATGGTACGACTATCAAAGCTCTGTCAACGAACACAGTGTTTGTCAGATGCTGTGCCACAACTGCTGAGTCGGGATCATGGAACTTAACAAAGCAGACACGGGATGAGACTGGCAAAGGTGAATCACTAAAAAATAAACAAATAACATGAAAAAGAATATCAGTTAGAATAAAAACGTTTTATTTACAAACCAACACTTGCCTTCCAAAAGTAAAATGGGCAGATAAAAACACATACTCGTAGGTATATTAGTTTAATTAACTAGATCAAAAGAAAATGTCCTTTCAAATAACGTACTGTCCACTGAATCCATGTAGAAATTACAATGTAGATAAACATTTATAATTACTGTTTATAGTGTACCATGTTAAAAAGAGCTTGAAACTGAAGTCGCACAGTTTGTGCAGATTCTAGGTATATATCACCAGGTGGTTAATTTTTTTTTTAAATATCAATATAAAATGTTTTAAAACAGAGGTAATTAGTAATTAGTTTTGGCTTGGAAAACTTATTACAGCTCACTTTTGTCCTCTCTGCCTTATGCATTTTCCTAAGTTCTCCAGGAATATTCCCTAAATAGAAGTTGTTAGTTGCCATGAAGTCAATTCCTACTCATGGCGACCCCCATGTGTGCACAGTAGAACTGCACTGCCTCAGAAGTATCACAACTAACTTTTCAGAGTTAAAAACATGAAAAGTTTTCCACTTCAGGGACAAAAGAATATCCTGGCAAAGTGCATTTATTTGATAATCAATGAGTTTTCCTGACCTGCATAACAGAACTGGTTCCAGGCCCTTTCTTCTTTCTTTCACCCACAGCACATAAGAACTCCTAAGCTTTGAAAACAATTAAGGCTTTCTGGCATAGAACACTTTTCAGAGAAAAAAAATGAAGCACATATGGGGATACTACCCTACACCCTTAGTACTATTTTATGAAATTCCAATAAGCAAAAGAGCCACTTCCTTCAGCAAATGGCTTCTTTGGGTAAGCAAAAAACAAGTGCATGTTATGGCAGTGTGAGTAGGATAGACATTGCAGGGAGTGGCGAGTTTTTTATACGGGGTGGTCCAGATTTCTGCCATGAAACTGTGAAAGGAAAACATTAAATAAAGGGAGAACATGTTCCCTAACTCCACACCAAATGTTATTTGAAAACCAATGCCCAAAGGCAGTAGTAATCAGCCCTGGTTACACATGATAAATCATCTGTGGGAAAAAAATATCTAGGCTCTCCACTCCACATCAATTAATCAAGATCTCTGATAGATGGGAGACTGAGTAGCAGCTTCTTCTTAAATTCTCCCTCCCAGTTTTTACATGCAACCAGGATAGAAAATCAATGCTTAAAGAGCACAAAAGCCTTATACATGACAAGCCTAACACGTTAAGTCTCAATAATGCAAAGGGAAATCCTATATTCTAATGCCATTAGAATGGGATTTAACTGATAGCTTTTCTAGTAAATGAGACATTTTCATGTGTACATAAAACTAATTACATCAGATTTCGTTCACTTGGTTATTTCAGAGCTATAAATTTGCTGTTAAAAAGATTAATTTTTTTCATCATTTGAGTACTAATGAAATTTTTTTCTCATAACCTGAAGACTAACAAAAGGCTTATATGGCCTGCGAACTCAAGCTCATTAGAACTTCTAATGGACATCTCCCTTAATGAACACAGATCCTAATCTAAGTCAAAGTAAAGTTGACAACATATCCAAACAGGATCTAAGCTACTTTGTTAGACGCTTACTAATAAATTATTTGAAAAGATGCAGTGTGTTTTTTCTTCTTTTAATGTGAAGCACTACTGGTCTAAAATTGAGAGTATTATACCCTGAATAAGAGATACATGCAAGCAGTAGAAGAATGCTGTTTTTTTCTAGTACTATAGCTACAGTATTGTTTCTTTCTTTTCTGATACCTATGTTTTTACCACGAAATTGAAAAGTTCTTTTAAATGCAGGTATTACGTCCTTAACACCTAACACAATGCCTTGGGAAACAGTACATACCTAAATTTCTCTTAAAAAGTGATCTCTACCAATTCTTTGACACTGTCTATTGTTATCTGACTGAAATAAAAATGACTATCAGATGTAAGGTTCTTAATACTATATGTATAACCAATAGGACTTTCAAAAAAAAATTAAAATACCATCTTTAAATAAGTCATGTGCTTACAATGTATTTCCATTCACTTGGGAATATTAAAACAATTCATATCTTGTTCTACCCACTCATGTCATAGGAATGCTACAATTACTACTTTTGCTACATAAAAACATAGATGGGGGGAGGTAAGGAAAAAATATGAATAATTTAAATACTATGGAAAAATGAGTGACACCAAGATAAATCAGATTCAGCTTTCTCCTCACTTAAAAATGGTCTCTTTTGAACAGGTTTTTAATACTCTGTTGCTATTTAGCCCAACACAACTATATTTTTATAATTTCTCAGTTAAAATTTGCTAATAAAAGATGTAGAAATTTTTTGCTAATAAAAACATAGAAAACAGATGCATGAAATCAATTTTCATACCCTAGAATTTTGTGCAAGGAACACATCTAAAATGTCCATGTCTTTACTCCCTATTATTAAGAATTAATAGAGATGAGGCAGGGCAACTGGAAAGAACTGATGAGTAAGATAGGGAAAAGTGATCCCTGAATGACACTTCTGCCCTCCACCTAAGATGCAGTGGTATTTTTCCAATGTTTTTAAAGTATCCTTTGAGAGCTGTTTCAGACTTCTGTTGTCCATCTCAAGCCTACTGAATCAGAATCCTTTTTATAAGGAAAGAACCCTGATTCTTCACAAGAACTTCAGTTGATATTCATACCCATGAGCAATCTCTGGTTTAGGCCACTGATTATTACTTTCAACTCCCACCTTAATACTGTGCTTATCACTTCTGAGAATCTTGAGCTTTTAATCAAAGACATCTCCTAAACTCAAATAAGCAGTGTGACAAAGGAGATTTTCACTGACAATTTGACTTTGCTTACCTCACACGTACCCTCCCTGTGCTCCCTTTATTAATCAGTCCTAAAAAAAATGTAGTAAAACACTGCATTCATTAAAAAAAAAAAAAATTTAAAAAGGTGAACTGACTTCTCCCTTACCAAACTATACTATTTATACATGTGACCATTAAAGTATTTATTTTTGGTCACTGAGAAGTTACTAATGAATTTTTAATTTATACTCATACAGTAGCTTTCAGTTACTGCGTAACTTTGACTTATGCTATACTGGGATCATTACTGGACAAATGCTCCAGTTAGTCTCCATTCTGAAATCCCATTAAAAATAAGCATTTGAAGAATCTTACTAAGTGTAAATAAAGCATGATGCTACTTACACATTGGCTGGTTAAATTTAAAAACTCAAGCGGTAAAGCAGAATCAAAACATGGGTTTAAATGCTAGTTGACACTTGCTGGTAGTGTGGCTTGGGCACACGAAACAACCTATGTGAATTTCAGTTCACCTATCTGTAAAACAGGGTCAAATACACTCTTCCTACGAACTTTAAGAACTGAAAAAAATAGGAAAGCACCTACTACATAATAGACAATGTCAACTTTCCAGTATGTGTTTTCAGAACAACTACAATCAAAATAACTACGTTTTTCTTTACAAAAAGAGAATAAATGTGGGGGACACTGTTAGCTGCTTTCAAACAGCTGCAGGGCTGTCATACTGAAGACGGGGTTAGATATATTGTCTATCGTGAAGACAGATAGTATCTACACCACTGGGTGAAATTATAGGTTAGCAAATTTCTACTTAAAAGAACCAAGAAATAGATGAATTCTGTGAAACAAAGGTGGGAATCTTCTTGAGCAGATTGCCACTGAAATGTCTGGCGTAACTCAAGGGATGTTTACACACAAAATACACACTTAGAACTGAGATGAGAGACTCAATAGGTGTAGGGTGTGGCTCAGTCATATAGGTACTTCAGAAACGCTCTTCAGGTGATGCTGATGCCCCTAACAATTTCCTATTCTGCAAAAGGGAGGGACTTAACCTCAGCTGGTGACAAGCACTACAGAGAAAAACGAAGCAACATAAGTATGATAGAGAAGGCAGGAAGCAGGGGTGTTGTATTTTTATACATGGTAGTCAGGGAAGGCTTCTGTGATTAAGGTGACATCTGAGCAGCAAAAGGAAGTAGGTCATGCAGTTATCTAGGGGAAAAAAAAAAGTTCCAGATGGATAAGAACGCTTTTGGGGTGGGGCGGGGGAGAATTCAGGCAGTAAATGTGTTTAAAATAGAATTTTATGCAACCCAAACCATTCAAATCTTACTGTATGAGTAAGACAGTAATATTTTTGGAATGATGAACCTTTTTTGAACACTAGGGGTCCGTGGTACATTTTTCCTGGCGAACTAATGCTGAAAACTAGTGAGTTTATAGAAATCATCAATAAGGGAATAATCACAATATTCCCAAATTGTG